CCTATCAGAGGCAAAACGTTTGCGCAGCACTCTTGCCCAATCTGTAGGGAGTTTTAGTAGACCGTGTTTCCCGCTCCGCTAGCCCTCCGCTTCGAAGAAACCGCCACTGCGCCTGCGCGCCGATGGCCTTGGCTGTAGAGTTCCGGGTAGCGGAGGGGCTGAGCGGAGCGGGAAACACGGTCTACTAAAACTCGCTTGTGTCCGGGCTGTATGAGCTGGCCTCCGTATACGTGACGTCAAAAATCTAGCACTGCGGCCTTGTTTTCTAGGTGTTAACCGCTGTCACTACTACACGGCTTCTCTCGACTCTTCAACTGTCACCACCACGTAATCAGCGGCCGCTCGCACGGCGCTGAACTACCCGATTTGACTTGGGCATGGCCTTCGAGATTTTTCGCGCGCTGGCTGCGCTCTTCAGGCCATCGCGTGCACTCCTGTGTAACGTTTGGTGGCGCTCGCAATCAAATCCAACTAAAGCGCTGGATGAATTTTACACACCTCTCCCACAAGGGCGCAGTCGTCTTGAATGTCGTCACTTCTGGTATGCGGTAAAGCACTGTTTTGATCTCTCCACGCCGCTGGAATGTGTTTACAAAAAATGCGCGATTGTTAAACATTCTTGTTTGAAATGTTTTCTTATTTTTTCGTCCCGCATACCAGATTAGAAACACAAGTGACTGAGAGCAACAGGAAACACTGGTGCATGCTGGGACGCACTTGAGCCGAAAATGGCGGACACAAAGACACAAGTAGGAGCGTGCTCGCAAACGGCGGCGCGTCACTGGAGGCCACTGCAGACCAATAGGAACGTGCGCGTATGTGGGATATGCGCCATGAAACAAAAATGGCGACGCGTCGCCGGCATCCAATAGGAGCGCCCGCGGCACGATCAAACGATAGCGGTACCTGGATGACACAAGTCATCCGCCGCTTTAAAACAAATGCAAAGGAATAGCCGGGAATTACCGTTATCAACTTTATCGTCGGTCTACGGAAGTAACGGAACAATAAGGAGCAGAGCGAAATGTTTTCTCCGCGCAACACACAGACCTTTGGCAAGGAAAAAGCTGGTCGAAATGTCAAGGTTTGAAGGTGTAGAACAGATGTCCGCGCACGTAAGTGAAGTTCAGAGAACGTACTGTTCTCATGCTTGACGACGAAAATATTTCTATGCCTGTCCCGCACTGGCGCAGATAGTTTCAGCAGGGGACAAATATAGATTCACACTAAATATTGCATTATGATACAGCGAAAAGGTGCAAAAATCGGAGCAGCGCATAAAAAGTAGGAATCAACAGAGATCGACTTACCTTTCTCTATTCCGATGAGGAGGACAATAAATGCAGGCTTCGTGCCGCGGGCTCACGGTTCACGGCGTTCTTTGAGACGGTTATGTTTCTGTTTCTTGGTTTGAATATAAGCACCGCATGCGGAGACCTACAAGGAGTATTCACTGGACGCCATATTTGTGGGTGCTGGTTAGAGCGCATGCTCAGAACGAACTCACATTTCTAGGTTGCTAAGATCGGCAATCTTGATGGTGTGGAATGCACGTGGCAAAAGAACTGTGGAAGCTCGCCATGAGCACGCGCTCAGCAGTCGCTTTTTCTGCTCGGCAGCCGAGCGTTTGGACCGGCCGGAACAGGGCCCGCGACAATTCTCGGAGGTCATGACTCGGGCACTTTAGTGGATTGGTGCATATATGTGACGTCACGTGACTCTGACGTCGCATGACGTGTGTCTCCGTTGCACCACATGACGTCTGGGCCTCTAAACTCGTCAAACACAAAGTTTGGACCGAAGTTGACGGAGCGCACCGATTGGTCTATCACGACGATGACTTCGCACTTTTTTCGCCGGCGTCCAATCGGCGCGCTCGGCGAACTTTCTGCTCTGACTTTGTGTTTGACGAGTTTAGGGCCCCTGGAGGTCCCAAAGTCCCTAGATAAGATCTTCCTACAAGTAGCGACATTCTTTGAAGGTTCGACTGCGTGACGGTGCAGGTTTTAGGAAGCGAATGGCACGGACAGCAGAGGACGGAACTGAATGACGCCATTTTGTTTCTGCAAAATGTGCTTTGTAATTTCTATTGGTTGTCGTTACTTAAAAAAGAAGTATCAAGGGACCTTAGGTCACATGACTGTGACGTCATGAGGTCTCCGCGACGTCAGTTCACATCGTTCAGTTCACAAATAATTGCCTGCGACGTCGGCTTCAAGACCCAGTGTAACGAGTGCCCAGCCTTTAGAGCCGTTCATGCCTTTTATTTTTTTATTTTTTCTACTAACTTTCATTCACGGGAAGGCGTACCGCGGGCGAGTAAGCTATCAAGCGCTTTGGATAAAGCAGCTCCCCTTTGTGGCGCCTACTGGCTATTCTCTCCATATTTCGCTCTGTGGCGCTTATCTTCAGCGGAGACCGGAGACGTGAACGAAGGCTAGCTTAGTTACAGTCAAGGTCATGGGGCATTCCGCAAAGGGAAGCAAAACCTTGTTGTGAGTCTGAGCACAGGTGGCAGAGGTCCCTGCTGGCTGTGATACCCCCCCCCCCCCCCCCCCCCCCCCCATCTTCCTCCTCGTGTCTCCGCATTTCCCTTTTCAATGAGCACACCGCATAAGCTATCTTTGATAAGCCCGTGGGTGATAGCACCTCAAAGCAACCCCCTCCCCCCCGGCCCCATTTGTTTTGCCTCCCCGCTGCCCCCCCATTATAAAAATCCTGGCGCCGTCCCTGGACGTACAGCGCACTGATGTTGAACCGACATTAGCAACTTTCACGTGCGGCTTGATAGCCGAGTTGTACAACTTATTAAAATAGCTAATGTAAATGTGACTGCCGGCAAAAAAAAAAAAAAAGTAATCGGGGATTTTTTAAGTTCTACTGCAAAACTTCAGTATTTTTTTTTTTTTTTGATACGCATTTTATTTGCTTAATATGTTATATCCCATTGTTATCAAGCGCGTTCGTAAAAGTTGAGGTCATCAGTTCAACGCCACTGCGCGGTACGTTGAACTGAAGTTTTAGGGTGTATTATATTTATATGTAACAAAAGGGTGTAAAACTTCACTTTTTTTTTTTTTTTTTTAGAATGCTCGGGCAGGGTTGTTTTCTGTCACCTCTACTTTTTATTATATACCAAAGTAGAATGAAAAAGAAATGAGAAGAGTGCAATTTAGGTTTTGATGTGTCATATATGGAAAGGGGGGAAAAGTAAACCAAGTTATACTAGGAATGTTCTACGCAGATGACATTGTACTGTTAGTAGATAGCCGGACTATATTACAGGAGCTGGCTAAGATCTGTGGAGAGGAAGGAGACTCTCTGGGCCTGAAATTCAGTAGCTACAAGTCGGGGATAATGGTTTATAACGGTGAGAAGGGGGACCTGCTGAAAATTCAAGACCTTTCAATAAATTAAGTAGAGGAGCATAAATATCTAGGAGTATGGCTGAACGGGGGAAAACAATACTTAGAAGAGGAAGAATATATGCTAAAGAAAATAAAAAAGAAATGCAGCAGTTATAAAGCATAGGGCACTATGGATTTACAATAGATATGAAGTTGTTAGGGGAATATAGATAGGAGTCATGGTGCCGGGGTTGTCTTTTGGCAATGCAATATTATGCATGAAATCTGAGGTCCAGTCGAGCTTACACTCTCAAGAAAAAAGGGCGTAAAAGGGTGTATCGTTACACCCTTTATCCCATATAATACACCCCAAAACTTCAATTCGACGTACAGCGCAATGCAGTCGAACAGACGGCCCGAAATTTTACGAGGGGCTTGATAGCCGTGTGGTGCAACTTACTAAAATAGATAATGCACGTGTTACCAACTACAAAAAAAAAGAAAAAATCGTTTGTTTGGTTTTACTGTAAAAACTCAGTGTTTTCTTTATGTGGTCTTTAATACGTACTTTAGCTATTTAAAAAGTTATATCGCACCGTTATCAAGCCCCTCGTAACGTCGAAATGAAGTTTTGGGGTGTATTATACGGGACAAAGGGTGTAACGATACACCCTTTTACACCCTTTTTTTCTTGAGAGTGTAGAGACCCGGCAGAGGAGCGTGGGCAAACTGGCATTGGGGAAGCATGTGGATACACCAAGTGAAGAAGTGCAGGGAGACATGGGTTGGGCATCTTTCGAGGCTAGAGGACGTTCAGTAAGTTGAAATTTGAACAAAGGCTAGACACAATTGAGGATACACGATGGGCAAGAAAGGTATATAAGCATCTGTATATGAACAGTCTGAACACTAAATGGACAAACCAAACCCGAAAACTGAAACTAAAATAAGAACAGTCAGGTGTAGGGGCAGAGCCGACTACCTCTGCGAAAAAAGGAAGTAAAAGGAGCCGAGAGAAAGGTCTTGTAGGAAAGAGTGCAGGGAAGATTAGCTTTAACTGTGTACAGGCGACTAAAACAGGAAACGAGGAAGGAGCATTGGAATGGTAATTCAAGGGAGAGCTCGTTGTAATTCGAGGGTAGAACAGGTTTCGACGAGTTGTGCCTTTTCCCTTCGGCACTGCGCTTTCGTAAAATGTTCCACGTGTTCTCAATGGCACGTCTCACGGCTTACACAGGGTTAAAAAAAAAAAAATAACTTCTCCGGCGAATGACGACGAAATAGTAGAAAACGTGTCTACAGCTGCTACAGCACGCTGCCGCCAGCCTCTGCAACGCTAGAAAAAAAACGCTATTTGGCCGCATGCAAGATGGCTTTCCGGAGGCCGCACCCGCGGAGCGGGAAAGCGCGATCCAGTGGGCTTATGTGAATTAAATGAAAATTAAAGATTTGTATTTAAAAATATTTACAGCTGAGAATATAATCCAACTGGACATCAAGTAACGTGTAATGAAACTAATTTTGTTTTAACAAAGTAACGCAAGTAAAAAACAAGCTTGTGCGCTAGATGGCGCAAGCTACTGCCCGACGCCAGAGTGCGAAGCAAAGACGAAAACATTTTTGTCCATGAAAACGCCACTTCGAAGCAGGAAAAGGTGATGTCTTTTCAGAAGGCGTCATCCAGGAAACAACGGCCGGCCGTCCAGCTCTGTCAAGGCCAGTCAAAGCGGCACAACAAGGCCTGTCGCAAGTATTAGAACAAAACTTAACATGGCCGCTACACGCTACACGCCTATTTAGACGTCTAGGCTGTTGTCTACCCGGACCTTTTGAAGATTCGAACAGCGCGCACGGATAAAGCTTGGAGAAGCTCGTGAAGCCAAATTGGCCACATCAAACATGGCGGAACACAAGGGAGCGAAGGCGACGGACGCTATCGCCGAAGACATGTCGTGGAGTGGCCTCTTCGCCGAAGTCTTCCTGAGCCCCCTAAACCTCATCCTGACGTCAGTATGCGTGTTTCTCGTGTACAAGATCTTCTTCAGCCGACAGAAGTCTCAGAGATCGCCGGTAAAGCGTGAACCCGAACTTCCTCCTCTGAAGAAGCAAGACATGACGCTCCAAGACATCCGCAAGTACGACGGCACGAACCCGGACGGCAGAATTCTGGTCGCGGTCAACGGCAAGGTTTTCGACGTGACGCAAGGGAAGAACTTCTACGGCCCAGGTAGGCTGTCCAGGGTCTTTTACGAAAAAAGAAAAACCAGTATAAAAGACACGTAAGCAGGTATCTGGCCTCGCGCGCGTGCACGTTCAGTTGGCGATTCATCTTTTTTTTTCTTTATTTTTTTCTTTTTGAGTGGCATTGCTTACAAGTCTTTGTTCCATTGAGTCCTTTGATAGTCCATCTGGCGGCAGCTACGCGATTTCAAAAAAGAAACTTTTTTTATTTTTTATTTTTCCTCCCTTTTACAGACAACACGGACAGCACCTTTATACAAGGTCGCTAGAGCGACGAACTTCGGTCTACGTGACATGATGAAAACGCGGGCAAAAGTAGACACAAAAGGAAATAGAGGCATCCCGAGTTCAAGCGCTCAGGTCATTATTTTCGACCTCTCGCAGATGGCTTTCCCTCCCCTTCCCTCTGAAACGCCCAATCGCCGCCTCCACGCCTCTACTTCCGAACTAGCTTTACCGTCGTTCGAAAGCAGATGCTCCGTTTACAGAGAAAGTCCCGCCCGTGCGCTCATGAATGTAATACGAATAAAATAAAGATGTCAATTTTTTTTTTTTTTTTTTTTTTTTTTTTTTTTTTTTTTTGTGAAATTAACGGTTATGTTATCTCGAATTAGGTCATTCCGGCGGAATCCTATCTTCGGAATATCTCTGCCCCGATTTGAAACGGTTTTTGGACTCTGCGTAGATTCTTTTTTCTGCTTGGGTTATCAGCTGGAGTCCCGGACATTTTGTCAATACGCAGTACTCTACGGGTGCTTCAACTTCGCATTTGACTCGTCTCTGCATAACTTATCTTGGGTTAGAAAGGTGCAAAGAGAAAAAGACCTGTCCTATTCAAAGGCTGGAAGATCAGGTGCCTTAGGTTTCATAACACTTCTGCTTTAAACAGAGTAGAGCTTATCTTGCTTTGTCTGTCTGGCCGACAACTTATGCCAGATGTACTAGATGCATAGAACCGTGCATTTTGATATTAGCCTTGTTTAAAGTTGACAACAGCAAAAAACTTGAATGTCTTTTTGAAAATGCTGAGGGATGTGGATGTGCCTTAACAGGCAGAAGACCGGGTTTATTCAGGGTTGTCATCCTAGGATTATAGGTTTGCGTTTTTTTGCACAAGAAATTCTGTGTAAAAAAGCTTCTCGTAGCCCTACACTTTTTTCACTGAGTGGAGCGACGACTGGAAAGGAGAAAACAACCAATCGTGGCAAATTGCAATTCACTATAGTCGTAAATTCCAGTCAGTACTTTGCTTGTGGCAGGATGAATCAACGCCCCTTCCCAAAAAAGGTAATGCCACCCTGCTCCTTCCCTCGGGCAAGGTTAAAAAGCCATGGGAGCCATTTTCCTGTAGGCAAGGGAAGCTGGCGGGTCTCGAATGACGGAGGTTGTTACAGATCGGCAGACGCTACTCGAGACTGCGGCTATTGTCCTCCTGGTGGAATTCTTTCTCGGCCGACTCATCCAGTGTCACATTCGGTGCCACTGTACGAGGTGCTGCGAAGCTGGCAGCTAGAACAATTCAGTTTAACAGCGTGTTTCGCGCATTGACCAAGCTAATGAAGCCATTTGTCCCTTGTGATAGCCGAGATAGCAGAACACTCACCTCTGCCAGGCTTAAAGGGGTACTCCAGCGATTTTTTGATCTACCTCAACGAACTATATTTTCTGACTCCCCGGCCTTTACCCTTTCCGGTATGCTATTTAGTATCGCGAAATTCATAATAGTTATTGCGAAATCGGCAAATGAAAATGATGCGAAAACCAACATTCCAATATACCTGCACTTTTCAGTGCCGCGACGTCAGTGGCGGGCAGGCTTGCCAGTCGAGCAAGCAGCCTAAAAAATAGAATATGCCAATCATTTGTTCCGTGCTGGAGCGCGGGTCCTGGAGCGAGCTTCCAAAGCATTCATTTGACACCATGAAACTGCTTCAGATCAGTTGGGAACAAATTCTACAGTCCAAAGAGTGAACCCCTGCACTTCCACTGACGTCACTTTTTCGTTGTTGCCAGTAGAGACTTTCAGTTTGAAAAACATGGTGAAGACCAAAATTGTAAATTCAATAACTTTGTGAAAAAAAAAAAAAAATTATTTTGACCTAATATTTTGGATACTATTTTAAGTATTTCGGGGACCACGAAGCAATTTTAATTTTAAGCAAATCGGGGACCATGAAGAAATCGCCGGAGTACCCCTTTAAAGAGACCGGGTAAGCTCACAATAGAGAGTAGTGTTATAGCAGTGTGCAGGAAGACCTGTAATGAATTAAGCAGGTTGTCACCTTATCCTCATCTCGGCATACTTTTCGAGGAGGGTGACGTAGAGCTGTGTTGAGGTATTGCATTGTTTTGTTTCATTTTTATTGTTATTTGCCCTTGCCTTTAATTTTCCCTCTTGCTCTATATCTTGTCAAAGCTTTCTTCTATTTATAGTTACAGATGTGAGGAGAATGGCAGGGAGGTTTTTTTGCTGTCTCACCTTCAGCGTGAGCTTCGGGCGATCACATGCAGCCAAAGCACAGCAGAGGGCCAACAAGAGTGCGTGCTGGGGACTGGCCATCGGAAAGAGACACCCCGTCGTTCTCGTCCCGTCCACAACCATATCCCGGGCAAGCCTCGGCGCGCACACTTTGAAGGAGGCTCGTGAATAGAACGTTCAGTACGACACATTGAGAAGCGTACCTCGTTTTCGCAGGTGGCCCCTACCATGCCTTTGCCGGCCACGATGCGTCCCGTGGGTTGGCCACCTTCTCGGTGGACTCTGCCAAGGAGGAGTATGACGACCTGTCCGACCTTGCCCCCATGGAGATGGAGAGCGTGCGAGAGTGGGAGATGCAGTTCACGGGCAAGTGGACGGCGCACTTTGCTAGATGCCAGCGCTTTCGCGCCTGCCCGGTTCGGGGTGTTTCTGTGGAAGACTGCCGCCACGTGGGCCAGCCGCGAAAACCTGCAGTTTTTGCACTTTATTTAATTAATTACCACTTCGTTGGACGGTTTGTTAAATTAACCTAGCACCAAGGAGAATGCTGTGAACGTAGGTACCTGCACCGCACCTGCTCGCTTTATCTGTATAAATGAATCAAATTAAGTAACCAAAATAAGGAGTTGAGGAATGTGCATGGAATGTGCTGTTTGTCTCAGGTTTTTACTTTAGGGCAGTTTTTAGGCAAACGCCAGCTTTACGTAGCATATGTAACTACCATAACATCCTGAGAACTTCTTTCCTCCTTTCTTTCTTTCGTTTTTATGGAGCCAGAGGAAACTTTGGGCTTTTATTTTAAACTTCCGATTGAAGCGAGTTTTCACTTCAGTGTTGTCTCAAAACCTAACCTCGCTTTCACGGTGCATTACGGTGTTGCCGCATGCATAGCTGATTTTTGCTATCTATTAAAAGTCGGTTGGATCAATGCGACCCCCACCATGACACAGTGGAGGAGGTATTCTTAAAGTGCTTCTGTTCCACGCTGGTGGTGGTGCTGGGGATAGGACTGGAATAACGCTCAGAAAATGCATTCCAACTGTGCTAAAGAAAACCGCCTGTGTAGACCGAAAGTGATGGGGCTGTACAGAATGCATGGACATTGGTACAAGGCCACAAAAAGCAGATGTTATTCCGGGGTGTTTTTGCAGAACTGTTTACTTCGTCGTAATGCGAGTTGCTCGCAGGTGCGGCCCAGATGTGAAGAGGGGTTTCATTTTGAAACGCAAGAGGCAGACGGCCTCGGCATAAAAATTGATATCTTAAATACAGCTTTGTTTGTACCTATGCTCGTAAAAAAGTGTGATGGCGGCTCTGACAATGCCTGCCGCCATAGAAGCAATTCACCATGCTCCCTCAAGCGTATCAGCACCAGGTGCGAGTTCAAGCCCTTGGATAAAGCCGTGTCCCAAAGTAAAGTGCTCATGCACAGTCTTGGCTAGCACCATTGTGAAGTGAAACAAAATATATTGCTGGTTATGACTTTATACTCCAAAATTTCTCAGAATCGCTAACAAAGCGGATGCAGTGAACTGCAGCTATTATGGATGCCTCACAAACAGATTTGTTCTTGTGACTACATGTTCTTTAATTTGTTTGTATTTAATAGCAACTGCTATTTTGAAGGAGCATGTCACGAAAAAGACACAAATCATACTGAAACATTTATATCAAATCACAAGATTCCTCGTAATCAAGATCCTAGTGGACGTGTTAAATTAAGCTACTGCCACTTGTTTTTGCCCCGCAGAGAAGTACCGCTATGTCGGTCGTCTGCTGAAGCCCGGAGAGGAGCCCACAGACTACTCCGAGGAAGAGGACACCGCGGACCAATCCAAAGCCTCGGACCAAGCCAAGGTGGTAGAGAATCCGCCCGCCGAGGCCTCCGGAGGAGACGCCAAGCCCCATGCAGATTGATGGACGTCGCCATTGTTCCGAGCGAACGCGCGTCGTGCCGTCTGCACGCAGCCGGCAAGAAGTGTGCCTGCCACCCCTGCCTGTGTCTCCCGTCATTTCCCAAAGTGTTTACGTCTGTGCACTTTTCGTCTTCTTCGCCAAACCTCACGTTCCGTAAGAACGAAAAAAAAAAAAAAAAAATGGTTGTTTTTCTTTTCCTGGTCAGTGGGTTTGGGGGACAGATTTTAAATGGAGGAGGTGTCATGACGGTGCGAATGATGGCTCCACGACGGATATATTGCAGAGAATTGGGCTGAAAGCTAGTCTTTAGAATAAAAAGAAAGAAGGAAGATAATGTCTGCCCCGCGCTCCGTTTTTGTCTTGCGGAGGCCCTCCGCGAGAAGAGACCAAAGGTTTCGCAACAAGGGCTACAGGGCACGAGTCGGGCAATGTACTTTCCCGCGAAGCTCCTCTTCAGCCTCTGTTGCAAACTCGCAGAAATGGAGCGCGGCTGGCTTACATCTTGAAAAGATGCCCCGTCGTGACGTCTTGTCTCCTCCTCCGTGTGCTTGTGGGACTTTTAAAGTCTTTTTAGAATTGGTTTGAAGTCGCTCCGCACTTGTGACTTCGTCGTACAACTCCAATGGAGTCATTCTCATTTCGGGAAAGACAGCCCATACGTTGCATGACTAAGCGATTCCAAACGCGAGCAACTGATGTGCAGCCTTTTCCCCCGCGTTTTCGTGCCCTTCCGCTGCCTTTTCAGCAACCTAGATACAATGTCGTTTGGTTGTTCTTTTTGAGAGTTAATCCGCGAGCTGTAATCCAAAAGCGGTCAATCTCTCTTACGTTCCCCTTCCTCGTTGCTATGCGCACAGACCTGTAAATAATTCTCGTGCAGTTATCCTCCACCGGGCATTTTTTCTTTTCACCTTCCCCTAGCTTATTCTCAAGGACAATGAACAATAGACTCGTGTAATTGTTTGTGTCTGGAAGTTGTACAAAGGAGTTTTTTCTGTGTGTGATTATTAAAGTTTTGGGTTGTCTTTTCCTCTTCAACTGCTTGGTTGTTTTGACGAGGCAAAACTACCTCGGAATTTATTCTCGTTTCTATAGAAATGGCGGTGCATTTGGGTGGGATCGGTGGATGCGTGTGTCAATACGCAACTCTTTGCATAGGGAGTGAAAGCTCGAACTGCTGAACTTGGGGATCCTAGATGCTGGTGGCCGAGCGTCCGAAGGGGACACCCGGTTGTTCTCATCCTGTCGGCTTACAACGGTAATGAAAAAACCTGGAATTTCAATCGTTGTTACCGAATATCGTTGCATCTAGACTAGAAACTGATAGTCTCTAGTCTAGAAACTGGTCATTAGAAGCGGTACATCATATGTATAAGTGGATTGAACTGTATACTGCATTGGTAAAATTTTGTCCACAGCTGAGACACCAGACGCCCATTAGGGCACTCTAAACCTTTCACTGGCTAATCAAAACTTGGAACACAATTCGGCCTCTATGGTGTTTCGAGGTACTGGAGTAATAACATAGAGTGTCACAATTCCATCAGTTTTTGTAAATTAATATGGAACTCTCGGACGATTTTCAGATGTTTGTTAGAAATATGCGACGCTGTAGTGCCGCACTAACCGCTCATTCACACTGGAAGCGGATTCGCGTTCGCAAAGCGGTTGCGAACGCGGTTGTATAAAGATCCAGCGCAGTTGCATGCGCACTCGATGACATCAAGTGCGCGCGACATTGTACTGAATCTTTATACAACCGCGTTCGCAACCGCTTAGCGAACGCGGATCCGCATCCTGTGTGAATGAGCGGTAAGTGGCTCTCGTCAAATTTTGAAGTGCTTGTAAATATAAAATTGTTTTGAACAGCCTCCACTGCAAAACATACTTAAAATAAGAATTGCCGTCGCATCGAGTACTTATAGTAAAAAAAAAAATATATTTCGGAGTTGCCCAATAAACAGCAAAGGAGACAGTGGTAATTTTCGGCATACTTGCAATAGAGCTTCAGACAACTGGAAACGGCAATTTGAAGCCCCAAAATAACTGAAGTACAGCTTATTTAGAAGGTCTAGGTGGCGTCGCCCTGGAATTGGCTAATGCGACCCGAAATATTTGCCATGTGCTGAGCTGTGCTGAAACGAAGTATAATAGTTGCTCGGTTTTCCTTGCTCGGAGAGAAAAGATGCAGGCACGTCTTTCACATTGGATGTTCTGCAATAGCGTCCAACTCGGAGTCGGTCTTCCGTGAAGCAAGTCGCATCATCACAGATTTCCAGCCCCTACTTCTCAACTTCCCTTCGCGTTGTAGCATGCAAGGTATGGATGTTTATGCGGAGCGCAAGTTTGTCTGCTTCCTGCACAGGGGTTGTGATGGTGTCAGAATGCAGAGCCTTCATTGGCCGATTGAAAAAATATAGTGGGTAGGCCTCAAGGCATCTAGCATTGAGGTGTATCCACCATCCTTTCAATCAAATCCAATCAGAACTCAGCATTGTTCTGTGTCACCACAATTCCATAAGAAGCAGACGAATTGCTTTCCGCATACTGTGTTTCGTGACTCGGTCCTTTCGACCATTATAGCTTTCTGCAATTTATTTCAGCTTATTAGCATTAGCAAATTTATAGCACATATGAAGCACTTTGCAGCTGTGCAGACGAGAAAATGTGCCACAGCAAGTAACAAAAAAAAAAAAAAATGGGGTGTGGTTAGTCAGTTATTAAACTTGCGATGAGTCACACGCTGTAGATGAGCAATTTTGCCAGAGCAGTACAACCGCTAGCCTGGGGTCTTTAACGTGAACCGCGCAGTAGTGATACACGGCCGCACGCCGGTACGATGCTCATCCAGATCGAAACGGGCAGGGGTGGGGCTCGAACCCAGGATCCCTGGGTTCTGCAGCGCGAGCTTTCGCTCCCTGAGCGTTGAGCTGGCAGCAAGTAACACGTGCAAGTAGCCTTGGTGCCACCCCAATGCTTCAGCTGAAAGAGGGTAAAGCATACCCACCATATAAACACAAACAGCAAAACCTTTCAGAGCTTCCAGTTACATGCTGAATGGAGTACAGGAACACTGGGCCTTTAGCTATGCAGGCTGTGGACACCTGTTGCTGGACAACCCTGCCATGACCGAACCTCGAAGTAAAGACTGGCATACCTTCCAAAAACGCGTTCTACAGATGGAATTATTCCCATATTTAATGCCAAGCAGTAGCACAACTGCACCTCAGTAAGTCAATAAAATCTAGCAAGTCTTTATGGATGTATCCAATGTCTTCGGCAGAAAGGCAGCTCTGTTGAGCCATATTAAATTGAAATTGCAGTTTTGGTCTGTGATTTGGTTGATGTGAAAGCCTAACTGGCAAGATGGTTTTCCAACACACTGAATGTTTTCCTTGTCACACTCTCCTTGGCCTACCCCCACTGGTCATGACTGTTGGGACTTTCGCTTCGGCTTCTCGTGAAAAGTTTCCTGCAAAAGATGGAACATCTGCCACAGTTGGAAAAGAATGAAGGAGAGAAAAGAGAATAAAAACTTGAGGTCAGCCCAAATGATTTGCTCTATCTACCAGTGGCATTGGGCCTCTTGGCATGGCGTCTGGAGCGAAAACCTATCGCCTCCAGAGCCTTCGTATTCATGCAATGTCTACTATAGACCTTTTGCGAAATTACCCGAGCACCAGGGAGCATACTGGGAACTTAGGTATACGTGCCACACACCCCCATCTCACCCGTATTCAAAGTGATTGACCAAAACGAGATGTGGACCAATGCATGTGCCATTTGTTTTAGGCGGCTGCTTCAGAAAAGTTACCGTTGCAGACGCCTGCATGTGCAGCGCGTGCAACAACACTCGCAGCATGCTCCATGGTGCTTGGGCAATTTTAAAAAAGCTATATTCACCCCTCGTAAAGTATCTGGTTGGCCTTCGACGGACACGCGGACCCCACCTCTTCAATTTACAAACTTGGCACCATCACAAACGACACGGACACAGGTAGAGTAAAATATGACGTGCTGTTTGTATTTACAAGGTGACCCGGTGCGTGTGGGGGCAGTGGGACGTAGGGGAACTGGTGGACGTGACTGCTTGACTCTGTTGAACCGGCCGGCCGTTCGGAACAAGGTGGCAGGTTCTGCCGGAGGTCTCAGCTTCGGCTGGCGCTCACTAGGATGTTGCTGCCGTCTGCCATCTGATTGGCCGAGGACTGCAGCTTCGCCTCAAGCGCCTTCTGGCGCTTTTTGGCCTCCAGGTTCCTCAGTAGCTTCTCCCTGAGCAGCTGCTCCTGGCGAAGGAGTTCTTCCCGCAGCTCCGCCTCGTCCGGAGAGTCCTCCTGACTGCAGGACACGCGTGCCGCCGCCGCTGCCGCCGCCTCTTTTTCCTCTTCCTCTCGCTTTTTCTGAGCCTGGGTGAGACAAGAGTGGTTTGGTTTTTCGGTGGGGTGGGGGACAACTTTTTACCGGGGTTGACAGACTGATCTCACTAACCGGCATTGTTATGCCTCCGTGGCCAGCATGCATCGTGGAAACTAGTCTTTCCGCTACGCCCAACCATCCCGCTGCGGGTGTGTGCGAGCAGAGCGTGAGATGGCACGAGCTGTCTCGTGTCTCCTGCTTTCCGTGGACTACAGTTATAGCAGCATCAGATATGTGCAGATTGGTCATGGCCAATGACGGCTTCAGAAATGCAGGGTATGACATGTTCTGAGCATCTTATAGCTAGTCCGTAGCCAATGAGACTTTAGCATCTGCTGATTAGAACACCAAAAAATGAGTCGCAAAGCAAAAAGCACAAACGTAGCAAGCCATGAGCTGCATCTCTTGAGATCTCGGGGACTACGGTGGTATCGGTCTATTACACGGAAATCCCGCCCACCGGCCAGGGCACGCTTATTGGTCAATCCTGAGCTTCCCACCTTCAGATATGCTAGAGGCCCAACTCTGATACGAGAAGTGTGCTATGTCGGGGCCAAGAAGACTTTCCCGCTTCTTGAGTTGTCCAACTGTCAGAGGTCTCGCTGTAGAGCAAGAAGGGGAGGACTGCAGTTTTAATTAACTCTAGCGATCCAGTTCATGGCAACTAGAATTTGAAGCACCTTAACTCTTTCCTGACCACGGGAAAAGTAGCAATTTTCAAAGGATCCATGCAAACTCCTAACTAACTTGCGTAGGGAGCAATATGACACATCAAAATGGGGCCAATTAGTTGTTCTTTCAAAATAAACAAAGGTACATAAACGCCAAAACTTCGACATCAATGTCAAATTAAACAACAAATAAGAAAGATTTTTAATATTGAAAATGGGCCCCACATCTACGGCTATTACTTTGCTACAAAGACAGATGCAAGCAGTTAGCCATGTTAGACAAGTGCAACAACTGTTCCCACGACTCTTAAGGCGAAAGCCTTATATGTCCCATTAAGCGAAAAGGTTGCGTCGGCGTAGTGCCCAAAAGATGGCCATAATAATACGTCATCAAGCATGCGCCGTTCAGGGTCAAAACGGACGTGCCTCAAAAATAAAACGTAAAGAAAGGCAAATAGACGCAGACGCTTCGTCACGGAAGCCGTGAAGCCGGCAAGGGCGCAGCACCTGCGCAGTGGGGGAGCGTGATGTCACTGCCAGAGCACTGTGTGCATAAGGTGCACTTTGGACTTCATCTGTGCTCGTTGTGTGCTTCGTGCGAGACTGTGAGGTGACCGCACAGGACTATGATGCTTTCGCATACCTACATGTAAGCAGTCTTAAGTGCCCTCCTGTAATTTGTTTTAATAGCCCACCAGCTTGTGATAAATCTTAAACCTACGTTGAAACCAAAACTAGAGTTCTTCAGCTATCCATGAGATTGTGGAACATAATTCTCCGCACTAAATTTAATTTCTTGACAGTGCTTAGAAACCATCCATCACTGGTGATCAGTGGCCTATGGGCGCAGTCGGGAAAATGTTAAGAACCTCACTAATGACAGCCTGACCTGGGTTTTTTTTTTTTTTTTTGCCTTGCATGCAACATTTGAGTGGGCCATCATTATTCACGTAGCACCTACATGTGTCGGTTTCACTTAAAATATTGCTGTAGCATTATTTAAATTTCGTCTGGTTCACCAAAGCTATAGCTGGAAGGGGCCCAGACAAACAAAGATGGCTTTGGCACTGCCTGACAATGTGAGCAACGTGTCTGGTGATTAGTCCAGCCGTCAAAGCACAATCCCAAAGAGACAGCCAGACTGCCTAAAGGATCCACTCACCCTGACCAGCTCAAAGAGCTCCTGTAGCAGATGGGTTGCCTGAAGCTTCCTAGTCGCCTCGGCCGCGCTCCTTTGTTCCTGTGCCTCCCGTCGCCTCTTTTCCTCCTCCTCCGCCTTCCTCTTCTCCTCCTCTTTCTCCTTGGCCAGCTGCAGCTCCCTCTGCTCTTCCTCCTCCCTCATCCTCTTCAGCTCCATCTCCCGGTCCCCCCTCTGCCTCTTCCCCACATCCCTGCTGGCCTCCCACTCTTCTTCGCTCCACCCCTCCCTCCCTTCCGACCTCCTTCGCTTCCTCTCCCGCTTCTTCCTCTTCCTCCTGTCTTCCTCCCGCCTCTTCTTTCCCCTTCCCTCCTTCTTCCTTCCCCCAGACACTTCCTCTTCCCTCTTCTTCCTCAGCCCCTCAACCTTCAGCCTCCTCAGCCCCTCTGCCTCCTCTTCCCTCCTGACTGCCTCCTGGAATTCCAGCCTCCTCCTCAACTCTTCTTCCCTTGCCTTCCTCAGCAGCTCCTCCTCCTCCTGCCGCCTCCACAGCTCTTCCTCACGCTTCCTCCTCGCCTCTTCTTCCTCCCACTTCCGCCTCAGCTCCTCCTGGTAACGCCTCCTCAGCTCCTCCTCCTCCCTCGCCTTCCTGATCTCCTCCTCCCGCCGCCTCCTCGCCTCCTCCTCGAGCCTCTTTCGCTCCTCCTCTTCTTCCCTCCTACGCCTGAGCTCCTCTTCGACCCTCCTTCTCCTCTCTTCCTCTTCCCGCTGCCTCTTCAGCTCTTCCTCCTCCCTCTTCTTCCTGGCCTCCTCCTCTGCCTTCCTCCTAAGTTCCTCCTCCTCCCTGAGCCGCTGTTCCTCGGCCTCCTTCAGCCTCTGTGCCACTTCCTCTTTCCTCCTCCTCTCTTCCTCCTCCCTCCTCTTACGCTCCTCTTTCCGTCTCTGCTTCTCCTCCCGCTTACGCTCCCGCAGCTCTTCCTCCTCTTTCAGCCTCTTCCTGCAAAAATTGTGGCAGAGTGTTATGTTGCAGCAGGTTTGAACAAGCCGAAGTCACTGCCTTCTGCATACAGAGTTTTACCCTGGAATAAGTGATATACAATGGGACAGTGTTTTAGATTATGCTGCAGAATTATAAACATGTCTTATTACGTCCGATCACACTCCATTTCACTTTACGATGAGCCGTATTGGATGCTATCAACCATCCCAGCCAATTTAGCACTGCGAACGTATCATATAACCCACTGCACGTACAAAGAACTCTAGTAACAAGGCATAGAAACGCCAAAGTCTGGACAGGAGAGCATGTGTTCTGCCTCACCTCTCAGCTTCGCGTAGCCTCTCTTCCTCTTGTCGCTCTCGAAGTACCCGCTCCTCGCGCTCCCTCTCCAGAGCCTCCATCTTCAGCTTCTCTTGTTGGCGTCTTGTGATGCTCTCCTCGCTCAAATGTTGTGACTTGTCAAAGTCAACCTGCGCCATGACAAAACCCAGATGAGAAAGTCGCCGATGCGTGCTAGCGTGCTAAAGTGGGAGCTCCGCCAATTTGTATTTGTTCTAGAACTTTTCTAAAAATTTCCCCTCTAGACTCTAGGGGAGTGCTACTCAACCAGGACCCAGTATATTACAGTGGTAAAATCCTTTCAGACACATTTGGTTGATTTGATGCCGATGCCCTAACGAAATTCCTCCTCTTCCTTCAACTTGCCAATGATAACGCCTGGTTTGGTTGCTGAGGAGCATGCTCCTTTGGTAACAAACATATTATTTGCTCAGCCCGTTTGCTACTGACTGAAATGATTCTGTTAAGCAGGCCTATTGGGTCTTGTATAATCCAGAAACAACTGTGAGTCGTCCTCTTTGAAAAACCCATTGAAGGATGTACAAGCCAAACATGAAGACAGCTGATTGTGTGCCCCGCGTCAGAGAAGGGTGATTGTAGTCAGAATTAGGTTAGCAAAAACATCTTATTCAAAAAAGATGACTTTCATAAATCCCAAATTAGTTCCCAGTCACGGTAACTTTTGTTGGTATTACCAAAACTTCATTCATGTTTACCTCAGACCATGAAAGTTATTGTCAACAGCAAGTAAGAAATAATAGGATCCTTCGTAACATGTGGATGTCGGTCTCAGCAATCCATGAGCGCGCCATGTGTAGAGTCTTAACAACAGTTAACAGGAACAAATGCTAAGCTGACCGTTGACATATTTTGGCCTTTTTTTTTTGCAGGCGCGTGTGCATGTGTGTGTTTATGCATTTACACTCGGCTTTGTGATCCCTTTGTTCCTGCTTTCGTTCGGCTAACGCCTTCACATTTTATAAAAATTTCCAAGTCAAAGCGCCACATCGGTTCTAGGAAAGCTCACTCATACTCTGGTCAAGTGCGACTTAGACTGCATGTGGTTTGCCGACAACATCCTCGTCCCAACGGTCATGCTTTCGTGTGGCTCACAGTGGATGTCTGCAGCACCAACACAAAGCACTGCAGAAAGCATGGCGGTGACAACAAAATTCACCATAACAGCGAGGCAATTCTGCAAGGCATCGACAGAGTGCAAATTCAGATTGCTTGTTCTCCATTTGTTTTACAATGACGGTATACCCTCATTAGCAATTCTGATTCATCACACTACTAGTTGCCTTAAGCATAGAGTGGTGCACTCTGCAAGATTAGGACTAGAAATGTAAGTCAAGCATAAACTCTCGACTAAGACCGTTGCTCAGGAAGCTTGTAAGCACAAAGAGAGAAAGACACTAAGTGGACATGGACAAGTGCTTTCTTTTTGCGCATACAAGTTTCCTGAACATCATGCACTAACCAGCCCGTTCAACTATGCTTCTTACAATGGACCCTGCCTTCAGTGTTTCTTTCTAGTGCACCAACCTGTCCCCTTCTTTGTGACCGTCTCTGTTTGCGCTTACTAGTTTCCTGAGCATCATGCACCAACTGGCCCAACAAGTCTTAAGACTGTCGACCTGACCTTGATATTAGCAGCAAAAGCCCGTCCTTCCGGGGTCTTGTACATGAGCTTCATGCCTCGCAGCGAGTCCATAGCCTTGACGAAGCCGATGTACTCCTTGTACTGCACGTACACGTCGAAGGTCAGGTCCTGGCTGAACGAGAAGGTGGAGATCTTGCCGACCGCGGCCTCAGCGTCCTTCTGGTAAGGGTCCAGCAGGGGAATGTCCAGGCAGCGGACCTCGCCCAGGGACGAGAACGCCTGCCGTACCAAAAGCTCGCTGGGCCGGTCGGGGTCCCGCCGCTTGTCGGCGAACCACTTGCACGGCAGGCCCTGCACGTAGATGGTGTCCGGCCGCTCGCCGGGCTTCATCTCGTCCATGTCCCTCGCGTCGCGGAAGTAAGAGTCCCAATCGTGCCTCGTCGGAAACGGTACCTTGGCCTCGGCGGCCCGGATCCGCAGGTTGTCCGGGAACCCGCTCAGTTTGACGGTGCTCCCCTCAAGCCTGGAGACGATGGTCTTTAGGGCACTCTTGTTCTCAACTTCGCCCTCGAAGCGGATGAACTCGAGCGTCGTCTTGCTGATCTTGAGCGTCGTGAACTCTTCGGGCCGAATGGCCTGCCGCAGTTTTTCCATCACCTCCCAGTTGGAAATGCTCTTGCCCGGCGTTTTCATCTGGGGTAGCTGAATGCTCACGTTGAGACGGGCGACGGTCTTCAAATAGAGTCCCAGCGATTCGCACAGTTCCACAGCATCCGAGGTGTCTCGACAAGTCTGTATGGTGCACATAATTTAGCCTGCGATCGCTGAAGCAGAACGACTCTAGCGTTGTTCACTACCTGCTCTGGTTTCTCGTAAAGGCCAGCTTTAACCCGACCAAAAGCCAAAGTGCAGTAGCTGTAGCTACTCTTTTCTAATCAAAAAACACAATTCAACGATTCCGATCTCATAGCGCATTCACAACGGGGCACGGCACCGCTTCATCGAGTCAACAAATGAACGTCAGGCGACGGAACCGGCGAGTACGTTACTGAAGTTAGGCGTTCGAGGATAGTTTACTGATATGAACGCGTGACCGCTTTTGCGAGAAACGCGGTCAAAGGGTGAGTTTTAGGGGGAGACATGGTCGGGAAACGGACAACAACAGAACGTTAGAAGACCAGCTTCACGTCCGCCATGTTCATTGGATGGATGAATAGACAAGACCTAAATATAAAAAAAAGTGGATGGATGGATGGATGGATGGATGAATACGGCTGAGCCCTTTGGATCGGGCGGTAGCTTACGCCACCTAGCCATTTTGTTTTACCATTTAAGCTTAGAATATTTAAATGTGAAATCTATATTCACTTCGCAGTGCAAAGAAAGTGAGGCTATGAAACCCCCTTGCCATCAGTGAATAAGAAAATACCTAGTTTTCTCTCGATTTCTGCCACCATTCACTTAATCTTTGCTTGGTAATCTCTACAGTCTTGAAATCCACTCTCCCTTCGCTGTCTCTAAAACCCAATGACTTTATTAAATCTATGTTGTCTTCGGTAGGCATAGGGTGAAGCCCTTTACAGTAGAGTATCAAGTGCTCAGCCGTCTCGTTCTCCTCTCCACAAGCAGTGCACACTGTATCAATTTCCTGGTACTTCACTCTGTATGTTCTGGTTCGCAGAACACCCGTTCTTGCCTCAAACAGCAATGAGCTTCCCCTAGAATTGTCATAAATGCTTTCTTTGGCAATAACTCTTTTGTTTAATCTATAGCTTTCCAGGGCCGTCTTTGTCTGCATTCCCTCTAGCCACCGATCTCTTTCTGTGGCCTTAACTTTCTTCTTAACCGAGACTTGCTCTTCCGTATCTTCGCTATAGCCCAAAAACTTTCCTCTTAATTTCCTAGTGCGCTGTCTCCACTTGGTGTCTACACTCCTCATGTATAAATAGCTGAAAACCTTTCGTGCCCATTGCTCCCCGTCCATTAGCCTCAACCTATCCTCAAATTCTACCTTGCTCACCGCTTCCCTGCTCTCAAATGATGCCCATCCCATGTCTCCTTGTACTCCCTGGTTTGGCGTTTTGCAATGTGCCCCCAAAGCCAGTCTACCTACTCCGCGCTGTTTTATTTCTAGTTTCGCATGCACTTCGGATTTCATGCATAGCACCGCGTTTCCAAAAGTCAAGCCAGGCATCATGACCCCTTTCCAAATCTCTCTCACCACCTCATACCTGTTGTAATTCCAAAGTGCTCTATTTTTCATTACAGCTGCATTTCTGTTGCCCTTACCTATTATATACTTTTCATGGTCTCTGAGATATTCTGCACCATCACATATCCATACTCCTAGATACTTGTATTTACTAGCTCTCTCAACTGTAATATTCTGTATCTTCAGCCTCTCAACTTCATCCTCGTTAAAAATCATGACTGCCGATTTTTCGCTACTGAATTCTAAACCTAATTCCTCTCCTTCCCTACCACAGATGCTCATTAATTCCTGCAACTCTGTCCTGTTGTTAGCCATTAGTACAATATCATCCGCATACATCAATCCCGGTAAGGATTGCTGAATTTTTTGGCCTAGCTTACTGTAAGAAAGGTTGAACCCAAGCCCACTCTTCTCTAGTCTATCCTCCAATCCTCTCAGATACAACATAAACAGCAAAGGCGATAACGGGCACCCCTGCCTAAGGCCTCGTCTTATCTCTATTTTCCCTGTCGCCTTTCCTTCCCATGTTATAATCACCTTGTTATCTTTGTAAATGTTCCTTAATAGTGCTGTTAGTCCTTCATCTAGGTTTAAGTTCTCCATTATGTCCCACAGGTTTCTTTGGTTCACATTGTCATAGGCACCCTTGATATCCAGAAATGCCAGCCAGAGCTGTCTGTTTTCTTTTTGCGCTATTTCTATACACTGTGTTAGAGAAAATAAGTTGTCCTCCAACCTTCTTTGTTTTCGAAACCCGTTCTGTAACTCGCCCAGTATGCCCTCGCAATCTACCCATTCCTCCAGTCTGTTCTTTATAATCTGCATTACCAACCTGTAAATAACCGGTGTCACGGTTATAGGACGATAATTCCTAATATCAGACTTATCTCCCTTTCCCTTATATATCATACTCATCCTACTAAGCCTCCATTCATCTGGAATATTTCCTTTTGTTATCATGGTACTCACTACCTCCCTTAGTTTTGCCTTAGATTTAGGACCCAAATTCTTCACCAGCTTAAAGGGGCCCTGCAATCATATTTAAGCGTCTACTTTTTTTGCGGTTTCCACGTCTCTTGGGGTTCGGGCAAGCCAGCGGGCACGGAGAGAGTAACTAAATATCCGTGCGTCATATTTTAACCGGACGACGCGGAAACCACCTCCACCGACGAGGGCGACCCGCGGTACCGAAAGCGCGCAAAATGTGACGTCTTTGGTCCTAGGCTTACTACTGGTCAGAGCCGCTAAAAGTTTTTTTCGTAGTCGGAATACAAAATATAAGTGGCGCGAACCGTTTCAATTATTTATAAAAGAAGTTTTTGTTCAGTATTTTAGATCAGAAAAGAAACAAATGCTGTTTATAAAGTACGGAAACAAGAAAAGACCCGTCAACATACTCGCCACCAAGCGGCGGAAAAAACGGCGCACACTAGAAAGAACTAGTGGGATGAGGCTACGACGAAGGGCCAGCGCAGAAAAGTCCCGAATGTACGCGGCGGCGCTGCGGTCGTATACCGGCTCGACGATCCGACCGGTTCCGAGCGTTCCGAAGGCCTTCGGCGCGGGCCCTGCTGGCGATCTGGCCATTTGGCGGCATGGCAGCGCGAAGTGGCTCCCGTCAAGAACTGATCTTTACCCCGTGTTTGCTGTCGTTTGTGGCCAATGAAGTGTTATGCCGAAATAGTCTTTAATCGCGCAGCAAATGCAATGCGAGCCGCCCCGGCCGCCCGCTTCATAGAGCCTATCCAACACATGCTTTAGTGGCGCCCTCTCGAGCCGTCGACCCGGAGTGCGGCAACCGTGAACGCTCGATAAGCTCACTACCCCTCCTCTAGTTCACGGCCACTCAAGCCAGGACCTAAGACGTCATGAAGGAGGTTATTTTTTGCTTGTTTTTGCAATTCTAATTCGCCTATAACTTTTAAAATAAAGCGAAATTTGAGAAAAGAAAAGTTTCATTAAGTTACTACGTTCAGTGCGCTCAGGTTCGGTGCAAATTAAAACCAGGCAAAAAGTCATTGCAGGGCCCCTTTAATAGGGATACCATCTGTGCCTGTCGACGTGCCACTAGGGACTCTTCGTTCCGCCTTTTCCCATTCTCTTTGTCCAAAATCCGCGATGTCACAAACTGGACTGCCCTCTATTTTATGGTGTTCATCCTAAAATAAAAAAAAAAAAAAAAGGTTAATGTAGATATCAAGGGGGCCTTTCGCCTCTTTCACAGACTTTTTGGTACCCAGACATAAAAAGTTTAAGTGAGCTGAAGTACCCACATAACTGTGTCGAATGCAAGTTTGACGGTTGGTCTTAGGATTTCCTTGTAGCCTTGTCAGCTTTGCTGCGTTTGCTGCTGCCTGCGTTCGCTGGTGTTATCAATCGAAACGATCAAAATTCAAAGAGCAGACAAGGCTATTTGAAGCTATGCACAAAGGTGTCATTTCTTTTTGCCTAAAAAAAATTGAAAATAAATCAAAATTACGAAAGTTCAGTACAGGGATTGGACAAGGCAAAAATAAAAATATTTTCTTAATGATTTATATAATATTTTACATAAGTAACTCGCACCTAATATGTCACTTCCGTCTAGATTCGAAATCGAAACCAACATTGTCGTCTGCTATTAGCAGGGGGGTAAAGGTGGGTGAGGAGGAGTAGCAAATCCCGTGCGCCGACACCCGGGGTCCCGAGTGAACGATCGCGAAAGAGAGCGACAGAACACGAGAGAAAGAAAGCAACGTTGCCATGGTAAACGCGAAGAGTGAAAACTCTCAGCAATATAAACAGTGATAATTTAACGTTGTAAACTAAATTCTGAGCTATTTTAACGCTTATAAAAAGCAATAAAGTCATTACGCTGCATTAACTTCCCTTCTGTCGAAATCTCGGAAATCTTGTGGTTGCGCAGTTTCGTATTCCTCAACCGCGCCCAGCCGCGCCCCACCGGCGAAGCCGGGTATATGGTTTAGTTTAGCGTTAACGCGAGGCCGTACATTTGCGCGCTATGCAAAAAGAAAGCTTCGAAAGGAACGCGAATATCTTTCCAGCGGTAAGTTCGTGGATTGTTGAAGTTCACGAAACTGCTCTGATGATGTAACCGTGTTTGGGACCCCGAGGGTCTGCCTGCATGCTCCGCCGCTTGCGGCAGCCGGAATGTATGGGAAAATGGCGGACCTTTTCCTCTAGAGTTAGTATGTATGATCTCTATGGCTATTAGTGCCTTGGCGCCATGTTGCAGGCATTCCGCGTCTTATTGCGGCAGCAGCTCTCGGTAGCAGTTGTGCCGTAGAGTCGTAGCTGTCTTTGTATAACCACATTTCAGAATATTTTATTGTCCTAATCAATCGCAAAGAGGTTCCTCACTTGACATGAATAACTGATGCCGCCTCCCCCCCCAAACTTTGAAAGTATATTTTATTTATAGTACTTTACTTGAAATATATTGCACCCAATGTACTTACTACTTTACTTGAAGTACATAACCTCTAATTTGCTTTGTACTCTACGTCAGGTACTTTTTAGATTAACCTTACCCAACACTGCATTGCTATGGGTTTTTAACGGGCTTACTACGGTTGATCGAATGCTATTTCATCGAAGCACGTTTTAGGGAATGGGCACGCTTTATCGAAGCACGGTTTAGAGAAAGCAGAGCCTCCGTTTAGAGAAACGCCGTTTATCGAAAAGGGGACGCTTTAAAAAAAAAGGCTTTCCTACTTCTCGCGTATATCACTGGTGCGCGTGTTAAGCCACGCCCCCCGCTGCGCTTCCGCCGCTTCGCGGCGGCTCATTACAAAATTCTTAACTCACCTGATTTATCCGTACACGCCGCTTCGCGGCGGCCGAATTCGCTAAAAGTAGGCTCATCGACATTTTCTCTAAACTGGGTTCTTTATAAAGGGATTCGATAAACCGGGGTCGGTAAAATGGCGTTCGCTAAAACGAGCTTCTCTAAACCGCACGCTGGGAAAACAGACTAACTGACAATGTATGGGTTCTAATACATTAGGAATGTGCCATGACTGAGCCAAAGGTGCTGAAATTGTTTTCGTCCCTTTTGCGGGTCATAATATACTACACAGTCAAGACTACATCAGATTGCAGGCTCAGTGATTGAAGCCGACATGAACCGAGACCTTGTCCCAAAACACAAGCAACCTGTCCATTGTTACAGAAGAGTAGAAAGAGCAGCGAAAAAGACAATGCAAGGTCAAATCAGGATCCACCATCTTTTATTTCCTACATCTGTTCGTCGTTTACAGACTGGCATTCCTAAGCTCAACGGAATGTATCAATGACTCTTCTCCGAAAAATCCGTCAAAATGTAACAGAGAACATCGCGCCATAAAGCAAACACACTATGCAAAGTCAAGCAAAAGTTCAACCACCAACACACGAAAAAAAAAAAAAAAGAGGAAAGAACAGGACTACAAAAGTTATCCCCCCCAACCACCTGCACAACCTTACTCCCTCCTGAAAAAAAAAGAAAGCAGGGAATAGATAGGACACAAAGAATGCACGATAAAACCCACCAAGTTCACGGCTGAGATAAGGGAAGTAGTATATACTAATCAAATCACCCCAAACTATACGAACACATATGTGAAGAACAGAAAGAACAAAAAAAAAAGTCTGCCATGCAAACTAAGCCACCTTGAGAGCATGCAAGCCTTCACACCCAGGAAGCTGCGATCGCCCACGCGATTTGCTCTCAATGTGGCTCAGGCGTGCGACAGTCGAAAGAGCATATGCTTTAAGTACGCTTCTATAGGTTAATGCATTAGGTCGCCCATGCAGTGTCCGATCGTAAACCTACGCTCAAGCCGCGCATTCATAAAAGTGTGCGCGTTTGCGATTACACAATGCCACACTGACTAGAATTCACGAGGCCGCGAAAAACACCGTCTGCAAAATCTCTCTCGCACAGTGGCCGGATCTTCCTCGCAAGCCAGCATTCAAGTTGCTGTAACAGACGAAACAAACAAAACGACCGACGACGCAGCACGCCGCAGTGACACAACCGAAGACGCAGTGAAAACGACGACAACCCAGGAATGTTTTACTCGCCAAACCAGAGCCCCGTAGCTATCGCAGGCATAGAGACAACGAAAACGCCACGCGTGTAAATGCTCTCGACGTAGCGCCGATGTACTGAAAACGTCCCACGACAAACGTAGTTCGGACGTTCTGAACATTCAAATGATCCCTTCCGACACCGAGGTGGGGACGTGTGACTGAACAAAATGAGCCGGCAGAGAAGTGTTCGTCTTTCCAAAAAAATAGCGACGACCGCAAAAAAATTAAGGTGGTGAAGACCTCACAACATCCTCCGAAAATACAAGCATGAAGTCTCGATGCTTGCGCTTCTCTTTGTAGTAGTACCTGTGGAACGGATGCGGAAAAAATGGCAGGACCATGGTTTGACACCTCCGGTTTCAGAATGCAGAGCGGCAGCGGCAATATCTTACACTGGGATGGATCAATTCAACTTCAAAGCCGAGATAAAAAAGAAACGGAAACAAAAACGAGCAACTCTATCTTGGCATATAAGTATATATATATATATATATTTATATAATATGGATTCAGCAAATTGCTTTTATTGGTGTTTGTATGTTGTATGTATAACGTGTCCCTGCTCCCGTAAAACTGCGCTATCCCATGGGACATTTTTTTTTCTCTCCGGTGTTACGAGTTGTGTATCACAGGATAAAAAGAAAAAAAAAAAGAGAACGGAAAGGAAAAAGGAAAGTGCAGAGATACGGAGACAACACGAAAACGAAGAATGGTCAACTACGTTCTACGCGACATGTGGACGCGCGGCGCTTCCGTGGCGGTAAACACGGACACCGAAAGAAACGAAAATGCAGAAAGGGGCTCGGAAACAACTTTTTTTCTTTTTCCCTCTTGATTCTTTTCTCCCTGCCCTTTCCTCCCGTTTCCCTCTCCCGTCGCGAAACACACCAAACACTTGCCATCGAGGCCAACAAACAAAGTGGCACAAAATAACACTCGTAATTGGAGCAAACAGTGGCTCAAGCCACGCGAGGCTGGATGGAATGCTGATCGAAAAAACATTTGCTTCGTGCAGCCACGCACGCTTTTAACGGATTCGAGGTGACACAGCGAGCAAAACCAACGTACCCCACACACACGGCTCAAAAAGAAAAAGTGCTAATATTTATCTGGTGTTTGGCTTAAAAGCTGCCATCCTCAGTCCCAAATTAAGATTCAGGCAAGAATGACGCACAATCAGTTTACGGCAGCTGTGTTGTAAGCTCTAAAGAGTTCTGAGAAAAACCAATCATCAACAAACTCAAACTCAATTTTAAGTTCCTAAACTATGCATTGTGCACTTCCAACTCATTCGAGGCCAATAACAAAAAAGCCATCAACCTCATTGGACGCACGCAATCGCTGCGGACAACTCGTCAAAAACTCCAAAAATTATGGACAAACTATGACAAAGTGCCAAATCAAAACACGCCAACAACGAGATGTCGCCTCCACCCAGAAAAAAAAACCCGTGTTTTTTGTTTTTGTCTACATGAGTGGGCACGCACAAAAACAGTTTGGTCACACTCCCCGAGCGAGCGAAGTGACGCAATCGTAACTCCCTAATAGGACACAGAAACGGTTGGCATCGCAGAACTGTGCCCTTTTCCTTCATTCGATCGGTAGGTTTTACGACGCTAGTTAATAAAAAATAAGGGTTATGTTGGCGGGCCTTGAGTTGGGTATGCTGCTGTCCTTTTTCTTTTTTTTTTGAGCAATCGTAGGGGGATACTGTCATCCTCCCTGTTCGAAAATTCGGTGGCATGCGGCAAAATGTTTCCGCTAGTAGCGCTGTTGGAATTCGTGGTGCCACCGGTTGAAGTCTATGTAGAACACCGAGATAGATCCGTTGGTAAGTCCTGCCAGCAGAAACCTGCGAGAAGAGAATGCAACGCTGTCCACTTTTCACTAGCCTCGGACAAAAAAAAACAAGAGCAGAATTACACCTAAAGTTTGTCCAATTAGACTGACAAGCGATCAACTGTGATATTACAATGCCCAATTGTGATAACAATTGTGATATTTATGTATATATCAATTGTGATATTACAATGCAATAGTGCCTGGCAGCAAAGCTAGAGCACCGGTGCAATTATCTTAAAGGAGCTGTGCAATGATTTAAACGTTGAAAGAATTGGCATTTTCTGCTTTTGATATTGTTCACTGTGTCACATATGGCAGAAAACACACCTCCTTTCATCGAAATGTCGCGATTCCGAAGCGTAATAGAGAGGCAAAACTTAGAATATTTCCCGACCTGCAGCCACGAGCGGCGGCCATGAGAAACAAGCGGCGTGACGTCACTTGGGTAGTTGTAAAAAAGATAGCAAGTTGCGCGAATACCTGCTCGATAAAAGGTAACTTTTCTATAAATCTTGTCGTTCCAACATATATATAAATGCGTCAAAACCCTGGTATCATCGACAAAACTTTTATTATACGGAGTTTTAGTGGCGCCATCTATCCTAGGTCCACAAAACCGCGAATAGCCGCCAGAAGCCGGAGGGGGAGGCGGACAGCGCCGGACGGGCAAGGACGGGTATGGCCGGACCCGGATGAGACTTTCCTCTTTTCACCGTATACTTCGCGGGGCGCCCGCCAGCACGTGGTCACGCGGTCGCGAGTGGATGAGTTCTCGCTGCTCGCTGATGGCTCTAAAGAGAGAAATTTTCCGGAACCCCGCGCCTACCCAAGTGACGTCACTGCGCACGTGACCCGGAAGACGATGTACGAGTGGAGAGGCGGCAAAAACCTGGATCTTTTTCATTTTTTAAAATAAAAACTAGGGTATCCAGGCAAAATCTGTTTTCTGTAGTTCACTGAAGAAGTGTCAGGCATCAACTCCCGCAATTATTTAAGCAAAGCCCTGAAATTGTTGCAAAGCTCCTTTAAATAATCTGCAAATTGTTTGCTACATGGCAATATTCTGTTATAATTTGGCTAACATTTCGGTGCAGTGAGCTTTGCTCAACTACTTGATGGCCTCTCTATGTGCTATACTACCAGTAATTATTAGTGCAGAAAACTTTGCTCAAATATTTGATGGCATCTCTATACTACCAGTAATTATCTATAAAAAGGCACGCTTTTGTGCCACATACTTCCTTGTACGATTGGCTTTGCCTGCCTTGTCCCTTTGCACTGCCACAACCCATGGTTAGTGGAAAAAACAATGGAGCATCATTGGGCTTGGGAGTGCCAAACTACACTGTAAAACTTTGAAAGGCCACCAAATCCAGCTGGGGACATTGGGAGTCGTCAAAGAATCCAAAACCAACAATAAAGCCCCAAAATTATTCAGGCAAACAGAATATGCAATATTTATCGCTAAAACAAAGTATATATGAATACAGAGCATTGTTGCTTGGGAAACGAAGAAACATTCATGGCCTATAGTTACTGAGTACTGCTCCTTTAGTGTGAACCAATTAAGATAAACCTGTGTAATCAGCTACACGTCCATGGTCTACCTGGAGGCACCAGAATGTAGTATGGTTCAACAGAGTGATGCCCCGTAAGTTAAATACACACCAGTAGAGCTTGGACATGTTAAGCAAATCCTCAAATATTGAAAAGTGAGCACTCTTCCTACTAATCATATTCATACCAGTGTCCACATGCAGAGTCAAAACTTTGTTTCACACTTTGAACGCCCCAAGCCAGCAGTTGTATTGTGCTAATTAAATTGCCCTTCTGAAGAAGTGAAATGATTGAAGTCTTACACCTAAAAGCAGCCCAAGAGCCTATGTTTTCTGAACATCCATAAAATATTTTTCCTATATTTTGTGTAAGCCACTAAGAGAAAGATAAATTATTTTCCCGACTCAAACTACATTCCACTCTAGAATATGATTCCAGTCTGAAGTCGCATCTGATTCTATAGCTCACATTCCGATTCTATATTACTCGCATTTCGATTCCAAGAACTCTAATTCCGATTCATGGACGCATCAAATGGCAAACGAGGCTCCACTTAAAGCTTTGCGGCGTGACTATGCTGTGGTGCTTTAAGCCGCACATAGACTAAGCACCTACTGGGGAGGGGGGCAGGCTAGCCCAGCACTCACTTCTGGTCGTGGGAGAGGGCAAGAGACCGCACTCCGCCCTCGCAGGCCGGGAAAGCGTACAGCAGGGCCAGGTTGAAGGTGCGCCACACCTCCACGACGCCGCTCTCAGAGCCGGTAACCATGTACTCGCCATCGCGACTCAGTGTCAGGCACTGCAACCCCGGAGCCAAAGCACACTTTGACAAACCTCAGACAATGCAAGGCTGCGAGAAATGGGACGGCATGTTTCTACAGGATCTCTCTGTGGGAGAGTCAAATGATGAGAGAAAGATGCATTTCATGCCTATGTTTTTATTGCATCAATGCCCTAACGGGCTGCAGCAGTGCATACAAGCTTACTGCAGGAAACGAAAGTTGTGGCACGATTGGAATGCTAACACAGGCACTTCAGATACTCGTACAACAAAAATATTAGTTTGATAAAAGAAATGAAAATTGGCTGATTGAGAGATTCTAATGGATAGTCAAACCAGAAATGTACTTTTAGAAAGTTATGGTAAGATTTTAACTCTGGTTTAAACGTTTCAGGTACCTTCTTAAACATTATGAGCTGCAACACCTGATTCAACCTTTTTCCGTGTTTGCTGTCATCCACAAGTTCCGTAATCATCTCTCAATTTGTCAAAGAGTTCAAGGAACAGGACGTCAATTTTGCGTTCCAGCCCTAGTTTCGACCAAAGCTTCCTCAAAGACTGACAAGTATGCTAAAGAAGCACGAAGAACTGTTGCATCTCATATTGTTTGCGATAATACAGATGTGGCAAAGATACTAATGAAGTTAATATTTTTAGCTGGCTTTACTATGAAAGTTATGCTGTAGTGCCAACTATGTACCGATTTCTAAACCATTTCATTATAGCCGAGAGCCATGCATTGTGCACTGAAAACGCACGAGTGACAAAACAGCTGGAGTGTTGAGGAAGTGGCAACGGATCGACAATTACACAAGTAAAGAAATACACAATAAAATAAGCTTTGGCTTCAGCTTCTTACGCAGATGTGACAGAGAATGTCAGATGATGATGATGATGATCAGTAAGTGTTTAATAGTCAAAATGCAACGTAGGCCATGCTGTGCCAGAAAAATAATTAAAAAGGTCTGTTGCAAAAGAAAAAAACTTACGGTGCAGAGGATCTATAACTAATTTAGACAGCCAATTTTTTTCAACAAAATTTAGAACATGAACAAAGGGGAATAAAGGTTCAGCTCCCACTAAAAAGGCTGGGAAATAGAAGATATTGAAAAAGTTCAGGGAAATAGGCTTGGCATTTTTTACCAGAATTTGCAGTGCCACAGAATGTGCAATACAGTTAAGAAATCACCACAATGCCCACAAACTGGAGTGTCTTCATCAGAAAGGTCCAATCCTCGAGCGATATATTAAGATTTTGTGATGAAAGCCTCTACAGTGAGAACTCTCCCCCGCCTCCAGACGAGGTTCTTGTCAACTGTAGCTTATTGGGAATCTCAGATCACGCAATCGCCCAATTAAATGAGCACCCGACTCGTGGAAACCGACGGGTGCACATAGAGGACGCACCTGCAGGTTGTCGTGATGGGACTCGGAGCGTAGCCGGCGGCCATTGATGGTGAAGTTGCAGAGGTTGCCCAGGCCGTAGCAGACGAGCACCATGCCCTCCCGGGACAGGGAGCAGAGCTCGGGCGAGCCGAAGTGCTCCGGCGCCTCCAGGGAGCGCAACAGGTCCCCGCTCGTCGTGTGCACCAGCACGGGGCCCGCTGGAAAAAAAAACGGCGGGGGACGTCATCTCCCACTCCGCTCGTTCGCCTCTCGAGGGAAAGACAAAAACAAAAAAAAACTGCCTTTCTTCGGTACAGCCCGGAGGCACTCCAGATACAGCTCCTCTGTGACATCCTCTCATCACCTGATGCCATGCTGTCATGCGACACCACATGACCATCAGGAAAGTGCGTGATCAAGTTACCTCACTCAATGTTACTAGGCTGCAGCTTCGTCCTCATAAAATGAACTCCCGAAGAGCTCGAGAAATAACGGCGAGCAGTGGTTCAATCACTGCCCCCGTTATATGAAAGGCCTCACCCCTCGATCCGCTGATCACCAGGCCCAGCTCTGCAGAGACCACGATGCACGTCACTTCATTTTCGTGGCCCGTCAGCGTGGCACGAGGCGTTGGAATGTCTGCAAAAGTCAGTCAAGAAACAAGCGGCTGTGAGACACAGCAAGACAAGTGACGGGACATCGTAAATGATTGGTCAAGGTGCACTTCAAGAGTTAGTGAAACACGGCAGAACTCTCGCACACAATACCAATCAATACGACTCCGTGCCCACATGTTGACCAAACTGTCAATATAACTATATTGATGGACTTTGGCCTCAGAAAGTTCAATGACTACATTGGAATTGCAAATAAATTACATATTTTACATCAAAATAAGTTTATAGAGATGCCTAGCTATACCTAATCAAGAGGATTTACAGTATTCTTGCTACATGCAAATAACTTTTCTTCAACCACATATAATTAACACAGGTTGCAAAGGCATCTCTGCTTAACATATACAAATGCATGCCAGTTTAATTTTGAAAATTTAACTGCAATAGAGATATCAAGATTTATGAAGTTTCCAATCCTTTTTAAATACATTAGGCGTGCATCCTGCTTTGGAAATGAGCTTTCCTCCTAAGCGCGTGGCTCCAATATTTATACTTTTCAAAGTGTTGATCGCGGTGGGTTAGCCCCGTTAAGTGTGCTTCTTCCCAAGCACCGGCGTACTGCGGAAAAGCCACACCCGGGGAGACGAGCTCTGCGGGTGTTGCTTCCCCGCAATCCACCGGAGCTTAGTAAGAAGCGCGCTCAACAGGGCCAACGTGCCGTGATCAACACTTAGCGAAATATGAATATCGCAGTCAATCCAGTTCATCTCGAAGCGAATATCGAATAGAGTATTATTCTAAACTTCGAATATTTGCACATAACTAGCGATGAATTCTTTCGAAAGAATACAATGTAAAATGACAAATCGGATCAAGCACGAGTAAACGTGACGACTACGAACACTGGTGTTCTATTGAGCAGGTGTCGGGGGTTAGAGCTCCCATCGAGAGCACCTACCGGGGTTGGCGTTGTCCCCCGCGATGGTCTGCGTCCTGGCGTTCCAGTGCCATAGCAGCACCGTGCAGTCCTCCGAACCGGAAGCGATGTAGCAGTCCGAGGTGATGTTGCACTCGGACCGTGCCAGGCAGGTCACCACCCCGAAGTGGCCGTAGATGATCTGGATGATCTTGGCTGGACAGAAAGGGAGGCCGATTCAATGAAAGCTATTACTTAATCCCTCTCTAAATATAAAAAAAATTTAAAACTGGTTCACACATTTCCATTTGAGTGTAATCGACTGTTAGGATGGCTTGTGACCGCCTGCGACAAAGAAAATGCACTGGGACACTGGTGCCACCTAGTATCGGGTAGCCTTAGAACATTCCTGATCTGCATATGATTAGACTGAAGGATTTGCGGTACTTGCAAGACCAAATCTATGCACTATCAATGAGAAATGGTCGCTTATAACATTGTCTAAATTCTCTCCACGGCAAAAGAATTATGAGTCGTTATGCGTGCAATGTCAACGTTAAAGTCACCCGTCCCTACAACAGACATGTTGTCGCCGAGCGTGACCCAGCCGAAGACGTCAATCATAAATGCTTCGGTGTCTCTCTTGGGCGTCGCGGAGGGGACGTACACGACAGCGCCCACCGGACCATTGCGCACCTTGACGGGAAGGCTGGAGAGGTTGCCACCATCTATGAGCAACTGCGGCAACCAGATTGGTTGTCGGGTTGCTGCCGTCGCTCGTAGATGGCGGTAGCTGCCCAAAGTTTTGTGTAGTTTTGTGTTGACATTTGTTTGGTAATGGACACAAAACTGGGGAAACTAGCCCTTAACAGTTCCGCTGTATAAGACAAACACCCCTTCGCATGCTCTCTGCTACGCAGCATCTATGGGAAGTTGTAGCTGACGTGATCTACCATCTGTGACGGACCAAAAATACCAAAAAAAGCTCCGCTTCCAGCAAGTGCTTATTACCTTCTGCGGGGTTTTGGCTGCGCGCGCGACGAAGTGTCATCAAAGGAAGGAAGCTCGCAGAGACAGATTGGCCCTTGCCAGCGACACGAGCCTTTGCAAAACAGTCGAATGAAAGAAGGTGGCGGCACGCACCGGACTCTGTGGAGAACACCCGGAAGCTCTTGTCCCAGAAGCCGCAGGCCACCAGGAACCTGCTGTCCACCGTGGTAACGAAGCAACAGCTGCGCATGCGCACGTGCTGGCTGAAGGTGTCACCCAGGTGGCGCTTGTGCGGGGCCACATTCATCACTGCAACAAAACCACACTGCCGTCAACATCCCCCTCTCTTTCTTTATACAGGAAGGGTTCTACAACTTTCCAATATCTCTATCTGCCTCGAATGGCAGCCAAAGAACCCCTCCCAGTTTTGGCATTAATGCAGAAAAGCAGCCAGACCTTGTAAACAATAATGCATATGCCAGGGAGGGCTCAGCATATACATATGCATCAAAGGGCAGATCAGAGCGGCTCAAATAGCGCTCGAACTAGGTAAACACTTTACCGTGGTGTAGGGAAGGTTGAGGAAGTTTGGGAGCCCGGGAAACTACTCGGGGTACTTTGGGGAATTCCCGGGTTCCTAGAAAAACCAGTTTGAGAGCCCGAACTTCATACAACGAGCAAATCGGTTGAAACATGTTCCTCTGCGCACGAGTGCAGAGGCACGAATAGGTGAAAGCGAGTGATCACAAGCGCAACATATATCTCCCCTCTGCAAGTGGCATCCTCTTTGGTGGTGGTAAATATCTCAGCCATGAGTTCTTTCTTCGTTGGAACATGTTGGGTAAAGGCCCGTTTACACGCTTGCGACTTTTTAGGACCGGAGAGGCTAAAAACCAGTTTTTAAGCCTTTTGAGACGGCTTACGACCGGCTCCACAGCAGCGCAGCCAGTCGTAAGCCATCGCAAGAGGCTCAAAAACTGGTCATGTCGAAGTCGGTCGTAGCCAATTTAATTACGTGTACTGGCCTTAATTGGTAATCAACAAAAACTATGCACTTTTCAAAGTACTTACTTTCCCCTTTCCCAAAGGTCAAGTGCTCTTTCGTAAAGAACTGGAGGGTTTCAGACAGTCACAAAAATATAGGTTCATCTGACACCAATTTCCTCACTAAGTTTAGTGCGGAAACTGAATTGACATATAGGTCATGTGAATTTCTCTGCTAAATTTAGTGGGCAAATGCACAGGTGAAGAAAAAGACAGATGGACAAACAAATTTCTGGGATTACGAAATTCCCTTAAAAAGCATTTCATGCTTTATATATATATTAGCCACATTTTCTTGCAATAGCAGCCGTAGAAATAGTGACTTGTAAAAAGTATAGCAGAGATTATATATCTGCATGTCCAATATCCTGAGACGAAAACAACCCTTGAAGTGCAGTTTATAGTGTCCTAAAGGGAACACGAGCAGGGATCAAGAGGAGCTAGGCTTAACTTAACACAGCATAGAATGAACATGACTTGGATCGCTCACGGTTAGAGGCTTTACATAGCTTAAGTGAGCTATTTAATGATCGCCAAAATTGTGGTTCAAGTTATCACCTATCTATAGCATATAAGAGGAGAGAAAGTATGCGCCGAGAAACTGAGGGGGAGGAATGCTGAGCTCTGTTTGGAATGATTAGTTGGTAGACCTAAAGCTAGCAGCCTTCGTCTTCACTGCATTCGTTGAACGCATTAGAATGCCAGCACCTGGCGTTCGGCTCTCACATTCAAACACGTTCGATGAGTGCAGTGGAGATAAAGGCAGCTAGTTTTAGGTCTACCCACTAATCATTAGAATCAGAGCTCGGCATTCTGAAGTCTCCGCATGCTCTCGTATCTTCCTCTTCATCAGTCTCTCGGTATATGGCTAATTAAATTATTACCATGGAATTACTTCCAAAAGTTGTTGTCGTTTGATACTGCACCACAAAGAAACAGTATCTCATGGGTACTCACTGAGCAAGGGATCCATGGCAAGTGGAAGCTGGCTCGCCTGCGGCTGGTTCGTATCCGAGTATGTTGGTGAATGCATCGGCACTGCAGACAACAATACCTGGCAATTAACCACTGCTAAGAGTATGCCTCCAAATCACATCATTAACAATAGAAAACCTGCCCAAAGTACTAATCTGAATGGCCAGGGGAGAGATAAAATACCAGGAGATATGTAAACATATGCAAACACATAGAATTTTGGGGTGATACAGGTATGCTTGACTATTTTGGGTGCATTGTACTTTCTGGACCAAAACTGACAACCTGTCTTTTCTAAGCTAAAAATGCACCACATCTATAAGCAACCGCTCATAGATGACGGGCGTTTTTTGTTGTACAAGCTGTTATGCAGTGAAGAAAGATTTGAGGCAAGCCCTTAATGCCCTCGACGCACAGCAGGCATTGTCTGTCGTTTATGACAATGACTGAAACAATAGAAAGCCAACAGGGAACCATATTAGGGCATTCAGACTTTTAAAGGCACACACAGCTCTGAGTATAAGCTTAGTTTTCGCTCAGTCATCAACAAAAAATAAAAGGAGACTATAATTCCATCCGACTGCTGTTCGTCTGTCTGGCGACCCAAAACAGGCGTTATGCGACAACATATTCCCAAAGGCCTAGAGGAGAGCCTTATTCCGAGAATTACTGAATCAAAGCTGAAAAGTCTTTCTGTTGTCCTTTTCATGAATCTTGACGGGTCTTGCTAAGACACGCTTGATGATGGCGGGCCATACTCCGAAATTTTGATATACGCAATATGCAGCAAGAACTTCCCCAAGCAGCATACGCAATATCAGCATGCAACACCAACGACTTGCCACCGACCGGAGTAGTTGCAGTTCCAGCGGTTGACCGCAAAGTTCTGGTTGCAGGTGACTGTGACGATGGAAGGCAGGGGCAGCTGCGGGTACGTGTTGGCCGAGATGTGGCAGATGGGCGAGTTGGACAGGAACTTCATGATCATGCACAGCTCCTCCGTCACCGGGGAGAACATCATGGGGCTCTGCAACACGGCACACGACGGCCCATTCTCACACGAGCAGTCTACTTACGAAGTTGCACGGGAGATGAGACCCACATTGGATTTGTCCAAGCTTGGGTTGCTCCCCTTTTTGCATTGTTAGGCTTAAATGTCTCACTCCAAACAAGTTGTGAGGCCCTGCCAACGGCCCACTTGTGCACACACGCACATATGCACCAGTGTTGCGGAATCGCCACTCCGGAGTTGGAATGATTCCGAAATCATTCCACATTTTCGCGACCCCGGAATGGAATGGGAATGGAATGGCGGCAACGTTGAGGGGAATGGAATGGGAATGGAATTAGATGCCTTTCACCCGGAATGGAATGGGAATGGAATAGGGCGCGGTTCTTTATTTTTTTTTATTAATTAAACATTTTTTTTTTTTACGTTTAGCTATATATTGAGTTAGTCAGCGAGTCAGTTTTTCAGAAATAAAATGAGCGGGAAACTGCAAACCCGCGTGAAGCACTAACAGACTTATACGCAAAAAAAAAATGCAATACAAAAAACAAGCGTCAAAGCAAAGAACACAGGGGGGAGGGAAGGGGTGCGGCGGTGGCGCCTTTCACCAATGAAGTTCAACACAAATACGAATGCGTCTGCGCCTGTTGCACGGCTCAAGGGTACATTATCAGTCGACGTGAACCTGACCCGCTGCTCTGGTGATCCGATACCTAAGAAGGAGGCCAGACATGGCCTCGCTGTGCCGACCCAGACTACGTACACCTGCGACTCGTCTCGAGCGCGCTGTTTCTCGGAGAGCGCACACCTGTACCGGCCATCTCAGGTCGCAATCCACAGCTCTGTGTTTAGATGATGCTAGCCAAAACTTGAGGACTGCCACTCATGTGTTTGAGGCGGAAGGTCGGCAGGTAGGGCCGTCACAACAGGGATGCCACCGTGTCGATTTTTCAACCGTAACAGAAGATAAGACATGTGCTCCAGGATGCTTCAGGTGGTCCACCCTATTCTCGAAAATTCCAAATGCAACTGCCTGCATGGTCTTCAACGAGGTCACCTACAACGAAAGTATGTATTGTCCTTTCATACAGCAGCGTGGGTAAAGTTTCATGTTCAAGGCAACAGCTACAGATACAAGAATACTAGTTCATTTCGCCGTGACGTCATGTCATCAGTGTTGACAGGGGTGCCCTTATTGGACAGTTGAGTGGTGATGTTTTGATGGAATTTACTTAGAAGTCGACGTCTTTTCGCATCACTGGTCAGACAGACAGGATGCCAGGGAAAGGACCGCGGCCAATCCTTGATGGAACGTTTTTTGAACCCATTGAAGACTCCTCTTCGTCCTGAACCACTACCTTTAAGGCGAAGCGCCAAGCCTGCGGGAAGGTAATTTCGGGATAAAAAAAAAAAAACTTCCACTTCAAACTTAAAGTTTCATCTCAGTTGGCGTCTCAAAGAAATTTGAAAAATGTATTGCATTATCAGCAGGCACGTAGCCAGGGGGGAGGCCCATGGGGCCCGGGCCCCCTCCGAAATCTTCCATTTTGCATGGGTCATACTCTCCCCCCCTCCCCTCATACAACATTTTGTCATGGGTGCCCCCCCCCCCCCCCCCCCCCCCCCCCCCCCGAAACAAAATCCTGGCTACGTGCCTCATTATCAGTATTTATATTTCTGCCCTCTCTAAAATGTATTCCTGTATTTGATGTTCCAAAGACTTTATGACCCTTTTTAAAATGTATATTTCCGATACGGTATCGCGATACATTTTGACAGATATATTTGTGTATCAGTATTTTAGCTACTATGTTCATCTATCCCAGTATTTATATTTTCAAATACATTTTTGACTATTTCTGCCCAACCCTGCAACGCAATGCAGCTGTCAAGTGCCAATTTTTACGTTTAGGAATTAGAGGAATGGAATGGAACGATTCAGCCATTCCAGGAGTGGGAATGGGTCTGGTGCCCCATTCCTAGGAGTTGAAAGGAATTGAATTAACGAAAACTCCAATTCCCCGGAATGGAATTGGAATGGAATGGGGGTGCCCATTCCGCAACACTGATATGCACTCTTCACCATGGTATCTCCTTCTCACCTACTGCCAGTTTCCTTAGTTCCATGATCACTAGAGCACTTACTCCCTCAGCACTCCATCATGACCTCATGCTGCCTAGACCCTCAGAGTGTTGTTTGGGAAGTCTTCTTATTAGCTTAGGTGGATGCAGCAACATATACTTCAGGATTCCTGCTACAATCCAGTTTATTGAGATTCAAACATATACGACAAACACTGCTCAAAGACATGCCAGATACAATGCATTCAAAACTGTCGTGAAAAAATTGCTTTTGTTCTGTTGACGAACAGTGGTGACTATATGTTTGCAAAGAACAATCAGACTATTGAAGATTTGCACTTTGTTGATCATATGTTAAAATGATCTACAAGCAAGAAATCAACTTAGGCATTGGAACAGACCTTGGTGAGCATAGTTCCTCAGATACCGTCGTTTGACGTCCCTGTCGTGAAATTCTCTCCTTTGAAATTCACTTTAGAATTCCCCTAATAAAGCAATCAATGCCTTAGAAACTGAAGTGGAACCCCAAAGTGTTCCAATCAGAATACTCCACATTATTTGTGAATCCAAATTGAGGCAAAACTTGGATATGAACTTTCTAAGCTGAAGAAGTAGCCCCTAACAAAGCTACTAACTAAAAGCATGAAAGTAGTTTTCTCATATCGTAAATTTCTATACCATAGTCATGTAAAAGAGGAAAGAACCCAATAAATATTACCGTAAACATGATTCACGAGGTTCTTTAAGACAAGGCCTGCTAGAAAAAAATAGCAGGCCTTACTGATTTAGCATAACTAGTCTCTATTAATACCAACGAAAAAGAAAAACATTAGACATCATAATAAAAGTTATAACTCAATAACTGAACAATAGTTGAGGAAAAGCAAGTCCAGAGTTCCTTTGGCAAAAAGTACACGACTGGTACAGCTTTAAAAAAAAGGGTTTGTTGATGGTCAACTCACAATGTGCATCGCCGAGCTGCGAGGAGGGTGGGGCTCCATCAGCAACTGGGAGGGCGTTTGACCAAAGTTCTTGATCTGGTTTTCAATTGCCTAAGCAAAAAAAAAAAAGGAAAGGAAACAAAACAAAGAGTTTTGTGAACTAACCTTTGTTAATGTTTCTTGGAACTGTGCAATAGGAAGTATTCACTGGCGGCCATAGCTGTGTGCGCGACTGCTGAGCGCGTGCTGATGGCGAGCTTCCACAGTTCTTTTGTAACGTGCATTCCGCACCCTAAAGATTGCCGGTCTTAGCAGCCTATTAATGTGGGCTCGTTCTGAGCATGTGCTCTAGACAGCACCCACAAATATGGCGCCCAGTGAATACTCCCTATACCCAAAAATTGTTAAAATTTCCTTACTGAACTGTACGTTTAAAACTAGTGCAGAAGAGTCATTATGAAATGTAGAATTTTCTCAGCAAAAGATAACAACACCAGTTGTAGAAAGAATAATTCGAGAAGCAAATAAAACTACCTAGCATTTAACTTTTTTATGGTGATAAATACAGACCCTCGTAACCACCAAAGAATTGGAATACTATATATGTATTATATGCCTTTTATAAAACAATATCACAGCATTAAAAATCTAGTTTTTTTTTATTTTTGAGAAGCTTTAACTCCTATATCTGTAGCATGCATGAATATACGGTATGTGCTAAAAACACCCTACACCTCAACCACTTCTAAGGATGTTAAGAATACAATCATCTAATGTTGGTGGAATTCACAGTGAACATAGATAGGGTATACTTGTTAGTGAGCGCGTTGGTTATGATATATAAGTTTAGAAGGAGTTATATACGTAAAGACAGGGGACGGGAAAACACATCTTTGTGTTGTCCCGTCCCCTGTCTTTACGTATATAACTCTTTCTAAACTTATGTAGACAGGGTAATGGCGTGACCGTTCAGCCCAGCGAGCTGAAAAAACCCACGAACTTACGAGGGCTTTTTCTACACAGCATGCCCTTCATTCAACCCTTTCCCTAACAATCTGTGCTCCAATTGATCTTACGATAAAGGCATCGCAGCAACTAACACAAAATTGATACACACAGTCTAGTTTTCAAAAACTATGCCTCTTGACGACGTTAGCAATGCACATCTGTTTAGCTTTGCAGCTACCTAAGAGCTTACGGTCTGCTAGAGCTAGGCAGTTCTTCTGAAAAGGGAGATGAGACCACAGGAGGAGCACCTTTTTATCATTAAATACCTGGCGAAGGGGCTTCAGCGGGACCTGCAGGGAAGCAGAAGCCCCTCTTGCAAAGCCCACCAGAACCCGTCAACCCAGTGCCATGGTAACCATTTCGAGAAGGTAGCTTAGTAGTATACTTTAGTCTATTGAAGGCACCACGAAACAATGCAAAATTTTTTCCGCTTAAATTGTTCCTTTCATGTTGATTACATGTTTCTCCCTCAAACATTCGTTATCCAGGCCCCTTTTCCAAAACCAACAAAGGTAAGATTATTTAATGGTGATGTGTAATACATTTGGTTGGTCTTGCCAAAGGCAGAACATAAGATGTGGTCATATACTGCTATGAGGCCTTAAGGCTTTAAATGTAGTGATAGAAAAAAAACATATATATACATATATATACTGTGCCGCTAATTACGAGAATATAACAATGATGCCACAAAGGCACAAGGACGCGAGGGAGATAGGGACACAGCAGGTTTCTTTGCCTCCAGCCATTGCTCAATGTTTTTTGTTTTTTTTTTACTGGCCGATAGGAAGATAATTTGTGCACAGTGAGTGCAACAATGGCTTTTGCAAGTCAAGTGTAACAGCAGGAAATGTAAAGCGGTCATATCCCTAAAGATAACTGGACCAAAAAATGATAACGCTAAAGTCACATCATTATTGACCGATTTGTTCATTACCAGATTTATGTCAAAAATTGAAATTGCAAAAGTTTGTCTCATAAATTCTGAATTTTCTTGACAGCTATATGAGTAAATATGTGAACAATGGCTTCAACCATAAGTAATAAATAGTGTTTTACGAATATTAGAATACTAGTAGTTTCGAATAATAGGCTATTCAATATTTACTTCGAGATGAACTACAATATTCATGCTTTTCAAAGTGTTTGCGGCGACTTATCTCCGTTGAGCATGCTTCTCACCGAGCACCTGTGCACTGCGAGGAAGCAATGCCTGCGGAGCTCATGGGTTTTGCGGGTATGCGGAGGGCAAGTTCGTCTGCTTCTTGCGCAGGGGGTATCGGTGACGTCAGAACGCCGAGCCCTGAATGGCTGATCGCGGCCCCCCTATCTGAGCGTCGTCTGCTCCTTTACCACGTCGTCTGCTCGCAACGTCGTCTGCGTCTGTCTTACCTTTCCTGCGACTTTTGGAAGTGCAGGCGACGATCTTACACCGAAAATGTGCGTAAGACATAACTTAAGAACAAATCCGTATTCACGAAACGAAATTTTCGTAAGTTTTGCGCAGGTTACAACGAAATCCTACGACAGCTCCGAAGCTGTCTTACGCACTTCTTACGATCAAATGAGCATGGCCGACAGCGTCGCGGTCGCGACGACCGACGGAAGTTTATTTTTCTATGTGCGCTTCTCACACGTCCAGACTTCAAGCAGCAAGAAAAAAAGTAAAAAGTACTTGAAACAGACCACGACGAACAAGAACGCTGGATTCACAAACACCCGGGAAAAGCTCCAACAGCCACGATTCCACCGAACGCGACCAAGCGAGCACGGCAGTTAGGCCTAGCAGGCACTCCGCGACTCGGCGACCGTCTGCCCACGGCCGGCTGGTGTGCTGAATGGAATATGCCCGCGCGACCCTTGTGAACCCTTCACGTATTATACTTTAATCGCTGACCTCAGTTTTAGATTAAGAGGTCACTTTCTTCCTCTTGTTATCTCCTTGTTTCCCGAGGCAACGGTGACTCTCGCCGGTGAAAAAGCGGTGAATCTCCCGCAGACGCGGGAAAGGTAAAGCAGCCATCGCTTTGACTAGCAGGCGTAACGCAGACGATATTAACTGCGCCAACCCGCCGACGCCGTTAAAGAATCAGGGGTCTCGCCGCACACGAAAGGAGGGAAAAAGTATTTGGAAGGGAACTTGCGGACACTAACACGCTCACACCCTCTCGGTTCTTAGCAAACAAACCTCGACGCTTCGGGACACCTCGCCAGTGAGTCATTTGACTTCCCTCCTTGATGCGCATCTGCTAGTTCTTAGACAAAAACAACGTACCGAAGTCGAGCTTGCTCGTAAAGACCTGCACTTCCGAAAGTCGCAGAAAAGGTAAGACAGACGCAGACGAGGTTGCGAGCAGACGACGTTGCAAAGGAGCAGACGACGCTGAGATAGGGGGTCGCGATCAGCCAATCAGGGCTCGGCGTTCTGACGTCACCGCTACTTCCTTTCTCATGCGCAGAAGACGAAAATGAGCCCACTTGCGAGGCGTATTGCTTCTTTACAGTGCAGACGTGATCGGCGAGAAGAGCAGTCAAGCGAGCTAAGCCGCCGCAATTATGATGGAGTATGTCTCAGGAGCCATGCCTTAACAACCCGCGCTGATCATTCATGTTTGTTTTTTGTCAAATGTGAAATTGTAGAATATTTGCACATAGCAAAGCAAAGTTATAAATGCCCCCAATTAGGATAGCTGCAACAATTTTGTCGTTTACACGCCACAGTCCATAAATATAGCTATATTAAAGTGAACCGAACTTAGAAGTGGGCAAGTGGAAGGTTGGGAATGACCGTCATGAGTTCAGCTAAATTTTTGTTTAAGCATGGTGCACGGTAGTGAAAGGCTCAGAGAAACTATTTGATATCCCGCTAGAAAATGATCGGTCAAAACCACTATTCGCTTCAAACTCAAAGTCTACTATTTGCACATGACTACAGTACTCGTTTCCAGCTCAAGAAAAAAAAGGAAGTTTTGTGCATTGTTCATACGCCGTGCAAAACACAGTTCTTGCAAGATTTGGTTGTCGGAGGAAGAGGCAATGCTTTTGGCATTTGAAGCGTGTAAGTCTCAATAAGAGTACACATATCTAATCTAAAATGCACCTGCATGCAGCTTAATTCTCTATCTAAAAGAGGAAACTAGGAGTGCTCCGAGGGGATTCGGTCTTTCTTTACTATGGCTCTTAAGGTGAAAACGAGTATGGTAACAAATTTAAAAGCATGCATCAGTTGTTAGAAGAATACAGGCAGCTAGAATGCCTTCTCATGTCTGAAAGGTAAAGATTTGCAGACCTCTTTCATGACCGTGTCCTTCATGTTCTCGAGGTCCACGCTGCCTTCGTATGTGAGGTAGTAGAACACGTTTGTGCTCCTCACAGCTTCCGGACCTGCAAGCAATTAAAAAAACCTTAGAAGATGCTTGTAAAGGAGCAAAGGGGGGGGGGGGGGGGGGGGGGGTGCAAAACATTTTGAGCTTGGTTACAGTGATAAAACTTTTGTCAGGTGTGGGCAACAAAGCCGTCAAAGCATAATGTATTTCTTTCATTGCCAGTTTCAAGCACCAGTGAAACACTAGTGCTTTATAATATTTTCATGCAAAAAAAATATTTTCAAAAAAATATTTGAAAGGAAATATTTGTAATATTTTTAGGCAACAGAAGAGTAGGTGACGGCTTTGGGGGGGAAGGGGGGGTGCCCTGAAATTTCTTAGTCTGGGATTGTCAATGTCAGGGATTGGAAAAAAACGTACTATTTAGCAAAATAGGTACTAAAATTTAATCATTTTCTTCTTAGTGAAAATAAACATAAAGCACTTGGAAAGCACAAGTGCAGCATTGCGCGACGATGCAAAAACGTGAGTGATAATAAATAATACTATCAGCATTTTCAGTGTTCTTTTCACTGCAAAAATAAACTCTATGCATCGTTGAACGCCCAGTCTCGGGCCAAATTTAACGCAGCGGTCCAGACCGGATGCCAAAGTTACAAAACAAACAGTCATTTAATTACAAGGTTGCAAGTTATTTTTCTGAAACTTCCAACGGAAAAATGGAGCCCGTTTCTGAAAGTTTAGCCACCATTTTCCCATTGAAAATGTCTGAGAATCGCTTAGAACATTTGAATAGGATATTGGTTTAACCTGAAACTTTGGCATCTGGTCTGGACGGTACATTTGGGTGAAGACCGATTGTGCAGCAATGCATAGTTAATTTTTGCGATAAACAAAAAAAACATTGGTATTTTCTTCCGTGGCCTCGGGCAAACATGCCGGCATTGTAGGTGCACTTTGCAGCACTGCAACTTTGAAGAAAACATTATGATGCAACATGTTCTTTTTTATTAATAAACACAACAGTATGGGGGAGAACTACAACTACGTATTTCAGAAAAATTGAAGATGGCTTCTTTTTTCTTTTATATTCCCCTGAAGTTTCTTAACTTAGTATTTCAAAACAAATTTGGAGTGCCATAAAAATTAAAATTTTTGAAGATAAAGCAATTATTTATATATTATTCGAAAGAAAGTTTTAATATGAATATAAGACATAAAGCATGAAATTGTAGCTATTCAATTTCCTTAGGTAACGACTTAGAGATCCAGTGACAAAACGTCGAAGGAGCCAATTGGTTGTGCATTTTTGAAACAAGATACGTAACCTCCACAATGCTGTGAATATTTACATCAATAGTTCTCATGATCTATCATAAGTATAAAATATTTTAGATTTCTTTATATTTGTATTTTGTGCAGTAGGTGTCATGTACATGACAAAAACTTAAAAAATTGAATATGTTGATCGTTCTGGGGCACTAATTTTTTTTTTTTCTCTTCAAATATTATTATTTCTGCAAGAATGTTTTTCTTCATTATGCTCCCTACACATGTTGAGGACTAACATATAAAAATATAAACAAAAACAAAAATGTTCAAACTTGCATGCATAATCTTCAAGAACAGAAGCCATTTAACAATATTAATATCTTTAGGGAAAAGTTGCACGCCAGTTATAATTACGATTCTAATGACACAAATAAAATTATAACCAAGGTTACAAACATTTTTTTGTGTATTGAAACAAAAGGCAATTCCATAATCTTTTGTCCTAAAAGAACAGTCTCTTTAATGTTCTATGGGGATCAATATGCTGCCTAATCTTTTCCGACAATTTTTTAACACACCTTAAGTATCTCATAAAATCAAGCTCGTGAAAATAATCCGCCAACACCAAGACCGACACCTCGACTGAAAACAAGCAGGGATTATCAAAACCAAAACATTCGCCAAGTAAATGAAACTATAAGGAGGATTTGGTGCATGTCTCTAGAGGAGACTGAAACGTTACAAGCACGTTATCTTTCTCCCATGTACGGTCAGATGCGGTGCCATAATGTCTTTATTTAAACTCCATCACTGATACCTGAGACTTATTGGGTCTAATTATGAGTTCTACATCGAGTGAAATCGCGTAACTCTTTCCCTTTACCAGGTATGTAGCACCGACAGTCATGCACGAGTCAAAATATGTCCTGAACATTAATAAATACAATACCCATAGAGAGGAACTTAATCAAGAAAAAGAGAGAGCACACTTCAATCACTAGTGCTGTCAGCTAAAATTAAAAAAGAAAGGGTTGGACATCCAACCCTGATAACATCGAGAAATCTGCGGCTTGCGCAAGTACATTCCTACCCCACGCCCCCTCCCCCCCCCCCCCACACACACACAAAAGCCCCCCAAAAAAAAGAAAAGCAAAAAAAAAAAAAATCATGGGGTCGTAAAAAAAAAAAGAAAAAAAAAGAAATAGACCCGTTCCTACCACAGCACCACAAACTTGTTGCGCCACAAAACCACTCACACGCGCCTATGTTTACACACAACAACAAAAACTAAACCCAAAAAGGCACTTCGCGCAAAAAGAAAGAAATACAAACGAACAACCAAACCGCCCACGAGCTAGAAAAGACCTCCCCAGACGCGCTTCTACGGCGCGCACCACACACTCGCTGCAGCGCAGCAGCAGCGTTCCGGGCGAAAAAAGATCCTCCCCACCGATTTCTCACCACTACCACTCCCAACAAACCAACAACCATCGTCTCTCAAACGCGGAACCACCAGAAAGAAGAAAACAAAACGCAGAAAACACCCCACCGAAGACGCGCTTGCTTCTTGCACTCCAGCAGAAGGAGCGTCACCCCGCTAGGCCTAACCCTAAGCCTAAAGCGCGATCCAAACCAACGCTTCTTTTTGCGCCTGTAGGTCGTGCGGCTGCGGATGTGACGCATTCCGCGTCGTTTTTGCTGTTTCCGGGCGCGCTTTCTGAGTCAGAAGCGTGCGCTTTGGTTTGGACGGGCCAGCTACGGGCGGGGGCGCACGCGCGCACGCAGGCACGAGCGCACAAGCAAAGTGCAACAGCGACAGACTGGCCGGCGAGAGAAAGAGAGAGGGAGAGAGATCGCGTTGTCATGTTGGAAGAGAATAAAAGGGGGGGGGGGGGGGGGGGGAGGAGAGGGCAGCCAGACGGCGAGAAACGCGGAGCCGGAACTAGCTTGCCCTCCACCGATTGGCCGGGACACAGGCGCGGCCTGCTACGTCACCGCGCTTTTTTGTGCGGCTTGAGAAAGAAGTTGAAATCAACCAACTTCTTCGTGCGCGCCCGGAAGGAGCGAAGAAGCGGCGCGACGTCACGAAAATGCGTCACATCCGCAGCCGCACGACCTACAGGCGCAAAAAGAAGCGTTGGTTTGGATCGCGCTTAACCGAGAGGACCGCTGGGTGACCCCGACGGGATCAGCGCTCATCGATCAACCACCGGGCAGACAGGCAGCCAAATTAATTCTTAATGGACTAGGGCAACCTCCCTCTCCTTCTTAAACCAACAACGATTTCTCGTCCCCAGAGAAAAAAAACAAAGAACCAAAACCAAGAAGAGACGCGCGTGCGATGGGAGACAAAAGGTAAACGACGGACGGTCTGCGAGGCGCCTCCGAGTCTTGAAACGCGGACTCGTGCGGCCACCTCGGAGCGCCGCGAAATGTGGTCTTCGTGAAATGTCACTCCATCACGCCGGAAAAAAAAAGTTGCGCAGGCTGTTTTGTGCAGCGCTACGGCTGCTGCTGGCTGCTCGCGTCTGCAATATACGTGTACGGCCACTCCTGAAAGCTACCAAGACGGATGGTCCGGCTCGGGTACTTGGCCCCTTGTCGCGATGCCTGATTTCTTTCGTGTTTTTTTTTTTAAGAGGACGTCTCGCGGCTGCTTCCCTGCTGTGTTTCTGAGCGCTCCCTTCACTAGCCACGTATGTCTCACACACAAAAGAAAGAAAGAAGAGTAAGCGAACGTTTTGAAAAACATTTTTCTTCCACGAAACTTCTAGCAACCTGAATTGTTTCACTTTCCATTCGAGAAGAAACACATTCCTGAGCGCACGACTCGTGATGTCGACACCTCGATCTCGCTCAATCTCCGTTTTAATTAATGAATTAATTAATTAACGTAATATTATACAGGGTAGCGTCCACATTTGGACACTGTGAAATGAGCTTGGAAAATCGACGCCTTGCACGCATACAGATTAAATCTTCATCAGGGGCGTGTTTTAGCGGTTGCAACGTTTCAACTAAAAAAAAAAAAAAAAAATTGGAATAATTGGAAATACATGGGCAGAGTGCCCGACTGAAGGGGAACTAATATGGCAATACGGGGATAAATTTCATAAAACTTGTCCGTGCGCAGCAAAGACGAGGACGAAAGGAGGACAGGACACAAACGAGGCGCTCCTGTTCTCCTTTCGTTTTCGTCTTTGCTGCGCACGCACAAGTTTTATGAAATGGCTAAACAACTAGCCCAAACAGCCACTTTTCCTGAACGGGGATAGACCAAAAGAAGAGGAGGAGACGAGAGCGTGCGGTGCTCTGATTGGAGTGGGTAGACGCATAGCCTAGCTGCCGCCTTTGTGTCCCAGCACGTTGTCTCCATCCAATCAGAGCGAGCAAGAGCGTCGTCTGCTCTTCGCGCCGAGTTCAAACGCCAGACTCTGGGCGAAGAGCAGACGACGCTCTTGTTCGCTCCGATTGGAGGGAGACTGCGGGTGGAAACAGACGCAGCTAGCCTTCGCGTCTACCCACTAAACGTTCCAATCAGAGCTCGCCGGGCGCTTTGACGTCATCGAACGCTCTTATCACCTCCTCCCCCTCGGTTTCTAACTATTTTTTGACGCCTGTTTCTGTGGCATCATGAAGCCGCGTGACGCAGCGAAAGTCAAAACAAAAAATGTAACGGCAAAAAAGAAAAGGTGGGAAAACAATAACGAGAAACATTTCAAAACAATGTGGGGAAGGGTATACCAAATAATCGTTAGTTTCTTTCTGGCAGGCTGCCACCGCGCTGTTTTTATTTCACGTGCACCGCCGTACATTCCACGGCCAATAGAGATGCGTGAGTATATTATCCCCGACCACCACACCACCCCTTGCAAACCACCACCGGGAAAAGTGCCAACATGAATTTGTGTAAACTTACTCGCTTTTTTACCGGCACCTATATTGTGAAGAGAAACAAGCAAACGTTACTGGGGAATGTGGGGCGGCAAATCGACAAACTCTACATACAAAATGCAACCCGTGTTTCGCAATGAAGATGAATTTAAGAGACAACACAAATAATGCCTCCGCAAAACTTTTTTTTTTTTTTTTCGTTGAAGGATTTGTAAACGGGCATTCCGAGGGCATTTATTTATCGTCGCTTGCCGGCAAAAGACCAAACACAGAAAACCCACTTCGTCAATCAACAACTAAAAACAGCATATTAAAAAAAAAAAAAAAAAAAAAAAAAAAAAAACATCCAGAAAGATACAGGGTGCCTCGTTCGCGTGTGAATTCCACCATGGGGCGTATGCAAGTTCAAACAGTATAACCTATAGATAAAAAAAAAAAAGGACTGGTTATGCGAGTTCTTTTACGAGGGACATATATAAACAAGATGACACAGTGCGAACAAAACATCGCTACATTTCCGTATTTACCATCAGTTCAGTGCTAAAGAGAAATATATATTAACAGGTAATAAGTCAACTCTATACTTGGACTATACGCAGCCGACGCTAGGGCTGAAGGGACCAATCAGAGAGCGTCAAAAGCGTACCATCATGGTGTTCATGTGCGTGTTCTATCATGGCTAAACTAATCATAAACAGAAAAGGCCCAGTGACTAGCGCTTTTGGTAATCGAACCCATTAGCTCGTAGCGTCGGCTGTGTCCGGACTTTACAACGACACTATTATAATATTAATAAAATTGTCAGAACTCAGATCAAAAATAATTTTCGTACAAAAAAAAATAATAAAAAAAAACGCTCCTCTGTTTTTTGCCTTTTACCTCCGAAATTGTCGAAAATTCATAATTTCAAGGAGCCTTTCGTAATCTGCCCAAAGCTACGAGCTCCACAGCACCACAACGTCCACGCAGAAAAAACGCACACTCTGTGCCCAACCTCTCTCAAAAATAAATAAATAAAAAAAAAAAACCTCCGAAAAAAAATTATATTTCTTTCCTCGGTACAATTAAGAATTCATCTCCCCAAGATATAAAAATAATAATAATAATAATAATAATAAAACGACGTTTCTGACGCAATGAGGCGCCACCTACATCAACACCAAACGCAGACGACGGAAGGGGGCGGGGCCTGCAAAGATGGCAGACGAGGAACACTTAGGGAGACAAATATCCTCGTCCAAGCAAATACAGGAGCCAGAAAAGGTACAGACAACAAAAGAAGAAAAAAAACATACAGAAAAAGAAAAAAAAAGGAATGAATCGCAGGTAGCCATTTAGAAAGGCAGTAAACAGAAAGGAAGAGAGACCAAACAGAGGCCATTTAATGGCCAAAGCTCATCAAAGCGCGGTTAATCGAAACTCGAGCCTAAGAAGGAGTAAAGAGTGAAGGAGGGGGGAAGAATGAAAGAGAGGGAGGAGGCGCGTGTGTACACAAGAGAGTAGTAACAACTCTAGAACGCCAGCGGAAGGTCAAGTTACGCGGGAGGGCTGAGAGTCTCCGCGCACAAACGCACCAGCAAAAAAGAAGAAAAAAGATAGAAAAACAGGAAGAAAAGAAAGCTCTGCCCGTAACGCAAACATGGCGCCGCCCACCGATCACGATTTTAATTAGCCTTCCCCACCTCGAGCGTTGTCCCTACCCTCTCGCCCTCTCATTCACATGGGAGCGTAGACCAAAGCGTACGCGCGTGCGAGACGAGACAAGCGCTACGACGCGGCCGACGCCAAGAAGCCGGCACCGGTGGGTTCGCGGGCCACGCGAGAGATGGCGCCACACGACGACCGTAAACCAGGGGATGCGCTGCCAAAGATTTCCATTCACGCGCATGCAACGGAGATGGACCGCAGCGCATTCTACGAGCCATCCCAGCCAATCCAGAGCCATGCGTGTGTCACGTGACACGCCGCAGAGGCCATAGAGTTATTATAACGTACGCTAGAGGTTCGACTGGCGCTAGTGTCTAGGCGACCAGTCAACTATTGCGGTGATCCTGTGCATTCCTATGGGAAAACGCGCGTGCATTTTGTCTGTTCGCCAGAGAACAAGAGAAATCACCAAGTAACAGATACTTGGGTCGTAGCGAATAGTAGATAACTTTATTAAGATTATAAAAAGATAATTGGTTTAGTTGCAGTATTTTTCTTCACGTAACAGAACACGCGCCAGGGAAACAATTTTTTTTAAATTATTTACGGTATTGAAATGTAAGGAGAGAACGAGCGGGTAGCTTGTTTTCTGAATTCTCAAAGCAATGTACATGCAGAAAAAAGAAAATGTTTTTGTGCACACGTGAGGCATAACAACACACTAAAAAAAAAAAAAAAAAAAAAAAAAAAAAGCTTAGTAAAATAAACTAATTCGCTCCTTTTCAACCACTGAGTGCAATGAACAACAAACAATGTGTGCGACGCTTCTTTAATTTCAAAATAATTAAAAATAGCAAACATTTAATTTCAAAAGGCTAACAAACGTTCCTTAAATTTTTCACAAATATATATATATATATATACACATATTCTAACAAAACCTAGACAGTGGTATTCTACATATTCCAAAGCATATTCATGCCAAATTTGGTTGTGATACGACAATATTAAGAACACATATCCTCGTGCCCAAACTGCGAAAAAGCCCCAAAACTAAAGCTTTCGAATATTTCCATACTATTGAGGGCGATGTTTAGGGCGTATGCTCATGTCCGTGTCCCACTAGAGCGACAGACAGAGACAAAAGACAGCGACAAGCCTCGAACCCATGCAGCATGCTCGCGATGGTACCTTTGACAGGCGTTCAGTCGTTCGGTGCTCGTAAAGTAAGCACGAGCAATTGCCTGCCAAAGATACCCTCGCCTTTAGGGAAGCGCATACTCATGGCGAGCTTCCCTGAAGGCTCATTCACACTGCCCCATTTTCTTACGTTAAGTTGCGTTACGAAATATTACGTTGAAGTCACCGGGACCTCTGTGCTTCATATTAAGCGAGGCTACCAGTTCAAGGGGAAAGCATTACACGCGACATTCGAGGCACGAATGCTTCGGTGACCTTATACGTAACGTAACTTAACGCAAGCAAATGGAGCAGTGTGAACCAGCCTTAATCCTTTTGCAACGTGCGTTACACACCATCAAGATTGCCGGTCTTAGCAGGCTATTAATGTGAGCTCGCTCTGAGCATACGCTCTAAACATCGCTCTCGAATATGGAGTCCAGTGAATACCTCCTACACTCTTTCGCGGTGCGGAAAATAACATTTTGTTAATAAATATTTGTGAGAAATTGAAGCTACAGAAGACTGCAATGGAGAGGAGATGGCTAGGGCTACTTGTCAACGTAGATGTGATGGCAAGCGACGTCACAATTCGAAGGACCACGCGGAAAAAAAGGCTCAAATTCATGCCGTTCTGTTGCCTGGAGGTCTTCGAAGCTTTGACAAGTTTCGCGATCATGACCCGCAGTAATTATTTTTATACATCAAATATAAAGATTCAAAAATAATAAAACCATAACACCCCCCCCCCCCCTCAAAAAAAAAAAAAAAAAGAAAAAAAGTAGTTTTTTGGCACGCATCTTAAAATTCGCTATATTTAAGGCCCAGACCTCTGTTCCGTAGCAAATATGTAAAAAACGAGCAACGAAAGTAACAATGTAAAGGAATGTAGAGTGTGTTCAAAGTTCGCCAGCATTCTGTTGGCGCTTATATATTGCTAATATGACCGTGCTGTGACTACATGAAAATGACCCCGTCGTGCACCTCTACAAGCGGTTAAAAATACTCAAAACGTAAAGAATAAAAAATACGCTACGAAAGGTGTTTCTTTTTATTATTTCCTATGCCGGGCAGCCTTGATCGGGCACATGTTCTCTGGCGTATTCCTAGTTTCAAAGATTTCGATCGCCCGGGTGATGTTTTGCACGCCTAACAAGCATCTTCGCACATATTCGTGAGCAGAAAGAATAAGGCGGTACTTAGTCATTGAAAATAGGACTATATTACGCGGCCTTTAATTAATTTTGATCGGCTGCATGCACAGGGAGTTACTGATGCAGTGTTACTGCGTAGTTCTTGCCATCGCTCTTGGTTTTCCTGATGTTCTTCGTTCGTATGTCACGTACATGCCCATGCTGAAAAGCGCCGCCGTCGTGTTCGCGCTAAGAGTGTCCGAACGCGCACATGAATGGATGTATGAGGCTCTTCTAACTGCGTTTATAATGCCTGAGTTTGAAAGAAAAACGCCGTAAATGACCGATTATTTCGTCTGCCTGACTGAAAAATGTTCCAAGCTACCTAGTACGTACGAATCAATCGGCCTCCAAAGTGGGATCGCGGTCCGGGCCATTTTTCTAGCTCATCCGGCGGACTCTTCCGCGGGGTGCCGGCCAGCGCAGATGAAACAATCGTCAGCTCCAACTCCGAACACAAGCTCGGTCACTCACCTCTCTGTTTGTAGCCGAAGATCAGATCGATCCACTGGTGCAGTTGGCAGGAGACAAATTCCGATTCCAGAGCCTACAAAAAGCACGCAAACATTTTTTTTAACATTCTAATTAATACAAGTGCACACGCAAAAAATAAAAATAAAACAAAAACTGCATGGAACGTGCCTTCGATTAAAGTGTTTATCGCGCAAGGTGTCTACCAAACAAATTGCTTCCTTCAAATTCCCCCGACTTTTGGTTAGATAGACACCCCAACCGCGTCATCGTTCATGAACGGTCACTCGATTTCCACCCTATGACGTCACACTTGTGACGTACTGTTGCCAACCGCGACCCTGGCGGTTGTACGGGTCGCACGGCAGCAGAGGCAGATATCCGTCAGAAATCCGTTGTGTTGCAGGCCACGGAAGCTGCGGCAGCCAGGAGTTGGGACACGCACACAGCGTCGACACCGACACCCGCGTTCGCTCGAATACTTTTTTGCCGGAACTTCCACAACCAACCGCCAGGATCGCGACACACGACAGCGTGATGGGCCGGCTCCTCTGACATCACTTCCGGCCACGGTCGGAACCACTTTCGACGGCGGCAACAGGACGCTAATAAACACAGCGGAAGACGCGTTACAGCCACCATGATAAGACTTTTCTAGCGCTTATTGCCCGGGCGAAAAATGCTGAGTCACCAAGCCGTGGACGTGCATGCGCAGCGTCCGACCTACCGCACAACGGAAAGCAACAGCGCATGCTCAGAAGGCGTTTCACAGCCCAGCAGACAAAGATGGCTGCGCGCCTAAGGAGATTTTCTTTGGAACGGTCTATGGTACCGTATATAACGGAACCCCTCACCATGCGGTTCACGCGCACAAACTCTTCGGGCGTGGACGCCCAGGGGGGCAGAGCGACGTCGCCGACGGCGGTGCCGTCTTCCTGTCGTCCCAGCTGGTAGCCGTTCTTGTTCACCAGCATCTCGGGCAGGTAGAAAAACTCCGGGATCAGCTCCTGCGATCACGCGCAAAGACAGTTGGCTGTAGTCAACCGAGACAGAAGAACTGTGGTGAGGAAAAGAAACCATAACAATGTAAAATAGAAGTGCAAAAAAAAAAAATAATAATACAGGGCCTTTCTTGCGCTGGCGAAGGGGGGCGCCCCGCGTTACCTTGACGTCGGAGGTGTCCCGCTGACAGTTCTTCCAGGACTGGGCTACGGAGGAGAACATGCGGTTGGCATGGTCGAACTTGCCGCCCTGAAGCGCCAGGAACAGCGTCGTGAAGGGCTCCTGAAACCGAGACGAGGGCTCTCTATCTTAACAGCGCAGCTCGCAGCCGAGGCCACAAGAAAGTCGGTACAGACGTCCGCTATAATGCACACATATAGTAACCACGTGACATAACAACGTGAGGCTCGAAACGGTTGCTACTACACAAGGTTGGGTACGGCAAGGAGGTGCTTCAGGTGTCCCTAGACCAGGAACACTTCTTTTTTTAAGTGTTAATTCCCTTACAAAAATTATGAATGAGTTTCTAATGCATTCTTATAGAATACAGTAGAAACTCAATAGAAACGCATTGATCATTTTTGTAAGGAAAACGCGTTTGTTTGCAAAGTCTGTCCGAGGATGGGGGGTGATCGTACCACGCGGACGAGCCAGTTGAGGGTGAAGGCGGCCGTCGAGTAGTGGGTGCCGTAGTGGAAGGGCGGGATAACGTCGTGCTCCCAGGTCTCGTAGCGCTCCTCGAAGAAGGCCCGGCGGCTCGGGTTCAGGGCGCCGATGGGCTGCAACGGCCAGTTTCCCTTAATCTCAGAGGAACAATTTCCCCGCAAGGGCCGCAACGGTGACGAATACCGCTAACGTTTCGCATTTACGAAACATGGCGTCCGTCTTGCTTTAGACGGACCTAAGTATAGGGCAATCGTTCCTCACCTTGGAGAGGTCCCTGTAGTTGCTGGGTAGACTGAGGTCCAGTTCGGGGGACTCGTAGTTGGTGAGGACCCAGGGGAACACCGGGTACTGGTTCAGGTCATTGTAGCTCCGTCCTACACGAACCCGAGTGGTTTTTTTAATCAAATTCATCGGTTCTACGAAACGCTTTCACTTCGCATCGAAGCAATCATCAGACTGTTCCGTTCAGACTGGGAGAGAACTTCGATTTGTTCGAGGTGCCGACCTTACAGCAGACATGCTAACTTGGCAAACTACGAAACCTAAGGCCTCCACGAGACAGTCAGAGTGACGGAGCGAAGGTACGTGACAGCTTTCCACGGGAGGGAGTGCCGAGACGGCTATAGGAATCTGAAGATGTCCTGCCGTTTTGGTGTCATCAACGTCGGTTTCTGTTACAGCGCAGCCCTGCCCATCGGTCAAATTTCCCCCTAGTTACTGACAGGGTGAGAAGGGGAGGGAGAGCCCACTCCTGCTTCTGTAGCGGAAGGATCCTACCTTCGACGACGCTTCGGCGTTTCAGGGACTTCGAGAGCGTACAGCCAAAGCACGGCGGAAGGCATTCAGCGCCTGCTGGAGGCCAGCCGTTCGAAAGACCCGCCCTGCGCTTCTCATTCTGCCAGTGACTATGGTATGTAAACGGGTGGAAATATATTCCGCGGTCAGGGGCAGTTTTTAAACTTTGTAAACCTTATACCGTCACGGCGCACCTTTTTTCGTGCGACGCCGTGCACGTTTGGTTTACTTTTTTTCTTTCTGGCTCGCTTGCTTGCTTGCTTGCTTGCTTGCTTGCTTGCTTGCTTGCTTGCTCTCTCTCTCTCTCTCTCTCTCTCTCTCACTCCCTCTTTCACATTATATCAGCAAGAAATGAGGGGGCGTTTGTTACCTGCGATGGTGTTGAGGAACATGAGGTACTCGAAGTTGCTGATTTCTCTCCTCTGCCACTTTTGAGTCATGTTGGACTGCTGGAAGATCTGCCGCGCTGACATGAGGGACGCTCGTCTGTGCAAACAAGAGAGAGCCAAAAATACGCCGCGGTTTCCAATAAACGCGATCAACGACGAATCGTACCTCGAATGCGGGGGAACAAGGGTAAAAAGAATGAAAGACTATCACTTATTAGTGCGAGACTGGTCGGCGCCGAAAGCGCGTGAGCCAATCGTGATTGACGGCCCTCGCCACAGCAAAGGGATGTATTTATCTTTGATCCTGTTCCACGGAAAACAAAGGTAGGCCTCGGCTAAAAGTAGCTAAAAGAAGAGGAGTGACTTCGATCACCCTTCTGAGATTCTTCGGAGGAAAAGCCTTTCTAATATATAGCCTTCTCTTTTTATAGAGTTCTATCACCCACCCCGATCTTTTTGTATTCTACAAAAATCAAACATGTGCACATTACGGCAACAGTCGTTTATTAGCCAGGTTTCGCATCGGATCTCCGGGTCTGTTTTGGGTAGGTTTGCCGTACCACGTGACATCAGTGTCACATGACGTCATGGTGACACGTGAAGTCACGTGACATTTAGAGGACACATTTTCCCGCTAGATTTAGCCAAGAAATTTCCCAGCCCTATTTATGGGGAATAGCTGATCTGTACAGTGTAACCATGTGTCCGTGTGCTACAGATAGGGACGCCGTTTGGCCGTCGACGCAGTTCACTTGCTGGACACAGCAGAGACCCGTGATTTTTTTATTTTTATTTTTTAGAGAGGAGGCAGCTACAAATTAACGAAATAAAAATGTATTGCGCGAGTAAGGAAAAAAAAAAGAGAAACTAAAGTACCTCGTCTGCGGGATGCCGTACTTGATGCCGACACCGACGCAAGGCAGAGACTTGACCACTCGCTTCACCGTCTTTTGGCTGTCGAAGGCGAACATTATGGAGGCTGAAAGGAAAACAACCAGGATAGCTGTGATCTCTCTAGCAGCAACAACAACAACAACAATAAATCAGTCGTCTTAACAGAAACAAGAGCGCCTCTTACTCAAAGAAAAAATACAGATGAATAACACGCAAACATATGCGCCCGTAACATTCGTATCATACGAAAGACACCTATGAAAAAAAAAAAAAAAAAAAAAATCTGAATTATAAATAGTTTTAGCGGAGGAACTCACAATCTGAGGGTCAAGGCGAACTTCTTTTCTTATCTTACACGTACGTGGTGTGATCAAAAAGTTCCGAGAATGATCCTGTAGCGTAATGCTCGGGAAGCAGTCCAAGGCAGGGACCATCGCGTGTCATTATGACAAAGTGCGTCGTTTCGTAACACTCGAAGCTGCGCTACACGAATTTTTGCGACCACGTGCACACGCACAATGGCGATTTCAGCATGGACTGCAAAACAAGAGCGAGCGCTCACATCCGTTCTGCGTAAAATTCCGCAAATATGGAGCAGAGACCTTTGGAAAACAAAACAGTGAGTTTTGTTTTCCCAAGTGTGTTTTCAGCGGCGCTCGCGCTTCAAGAACGGCACGGGACATCACCGAAAGACGAAGACGAATCGGGGAAGGTCGCCCTTTCCCGACCGAGGGAGTTTTAGTATAAATAGTAAATACTAAGGAGTTTTATCAGACAGCCTTATTGAATTGTTCTAATAGAGACCTCGATTGAAGTCTCCACATCCCGCCATCAGATCAGCTGTCTTAAGGTTGGATTGTTCTAAAAAAAAAGTAAAAGAATCACAGTCTGTTTTTCATTTTAGTTCTCCGTTAAAACTTTTCGTGATTGGAATGTACCGCCGGAAGAAGTTTTTTTATGTTGCCGACGTCGATCCTTTTTACGATATTACAGATACTCATTATAAAATTAACCACGTGCTTTGCTTCTTTATGTGTATGTATTTTTTGTATATTTGCACTCACGGTACCACCTTTCGGTATCGTTATTTGAGTTTTTGCAATTTAGATTGCCACGATCGCGATCTAGCAGACTGCCGAGTTCGTCCACTAAGAGGCGCCCTTTCCAACGTATTTCTGCCGCACGACATGTCAGCAGCTTTGCACGTCCTTCCACGCGTGTATCCACCCACGCCAACGTCGTAGAAGCTCCTCGATAGACAGAAAGAATGCCCGAGAAAGCTCGCGGACGACGTGGCGTCTGTTCATTTACCGGCGGGACACAAGGACCACCCGCGCACTTCAATCGATGCGCGCTTTGCGATAAAAAGAAATAAAATAAAAAAAAAAAGTTTCCTATCAAATTTCAGAATGGCCTCGATCATCCACAGATCACGCAGCTGGTCTCCCTGCCCCTTCTCCGCCACACGGCCTCCGTGTTTAAAATCCTTTCCCTAACCCTTAAAAAAAAAAAAAAAAAAAAGCCAAAAACAAAACAAAAACACCATAACAACGGATTTTCTTTTCCTCCACCCGTCCGCATCGTTCTTTTAGATAGGCCGTAAAAGTGGAGTACTCGGCTATATATATCATTATCCTCGTTGTAGACGTAAACACACGAAAACACACAGGCGCGTGCGTATGTGCTGCATCACACACACACACGAACGCGCGCAGAGCGGGACGCAGCGATCGCCGCTTATGCGTGTGGTTTCTTTTCTTACCGAGGCCCGAGAGTATTCCACCAAAACTACCCTGTGACGAAACGTACTCATCCGAAGCGCCAACTTAGGAACTTAGGAAGTAAAATTTAGTGTTAGTCAACCATCAAGTTAAAAAAAAAAAAATACACATTGAGTTTGCGCAATGTATATACACTCGCAGGTACACGAAAAATATCATGAAGTAAACTAAATGATTCACACAGTCTTTTCCAGTGGTGAAGTTGACTTCTCCACGATTCTCTTAGAAGCCGACACCGGTCAGGGCCGACCCTCAGAATACGATCACGTTCAATGCAAGGAAATAGGGACGGCGTTTCACGTAGAATGCATTCGAACTAAACAGCTTCACAAAAACGCAATTGCTTAACGTACGTTGTCACTGCGCGACAACGTTAGCACGAACACAGCACCGTTGTTTTTTATTGTAGCTTTTCAAATTCCGATGGAAACAGGAAAGCACACGTGGAATAGGGCCAGCGTCGGATGAAGATGAACTTCTTACGTACTATCTTCAAAGGGAAAGGGAAGGAGGAGGGTACAGCTGCCAGCCGTCAAGAGCGGGACCACGCGAATTCACCGTAATCCGCGCTTTAACTGGATTAAAGCCCATGCTCTAGTCCGGAGGCGGACAACGACAGATTGCTACACTTCCGTCGCAAAACACGTGCTGCAATCCCACAAAATCGCAAAAAAGAAGAAGAAAAAAAAAAAAAAGAAATTACAGAAAACAAAAGAAAGAAACGAAAACGATCTCGGTCGCTGCTCATGGAGGTTTCCCACGCGCTCGCACATCGTAAAATGAGAAAGGAATGGGAGGAGATGTGACAATAATAGCGATGAAAATATCACCTCTCTCTCTCTCTGCTTTTCTTCCTTTGAAGTTTTTATTTTAGCTCGTAAAGTGAGCAAAGACTTGGGAGCGGGCTTTTCGTTGTGACTAGGCGTGTCGCGAACCAGCCGAGGTTCGAGTTCGACCAGGTTCGACCTTCTCGAACTTCTAACGCGAAGTTAGACAAGCGTTCGACTGAATTTCGACTATTACGAGCATGCGCGGAAATTGAACATGGGCTCGCAGCACCGAGCGGGGAAGGGGACGCGATATTTACTGGGCGGATATTGTACATTACCAAACAAAGTTAATCATAAAAAAAAAAAAAAAAAAAAAAAGATGATGTCCAAAACGAAGTATCGCGTAAACTATTTCCCCCAAGTAACTGGAAATATTGAGTGGAAGTCGGGTAACAATGTTCGAAGGTCGAACTTGGACGAAGTTCGCCAAAAGGTCGAAGGTTTGTCGAACGACTCGAACCTCGACGTCGAAGCTCTGGTTCGAACAAAGTTCGCAACGTCCTAAGTTGTGGGACGGCGCTTTGCCTGAAGCCTCTGAGGCGGCTACACAAATCTTTGTCGCGAGCGCGGAATTATTAACTTTCCTCCCAAATCAGTTGACCAATATAGTTGACCTTTGGGAAATACGTACTTAGCCCATAGTAAAAGAAAACAAAAAGCGAATGTGTTTAATTAATAAACGTATCACAACTGATACAAACTATATAAGGCGATTACAGGGGCTATTCACTGGACGCCATATTACTAGGCGCTGTTCTGAGCGCATGCTCAGAACCAGCTCACATTACAAGGCTGCAGCCGACGCCATCAGGTGACGGGACCAATCAAAGAGTGTCAAAAGCCGACCGATATTTTGTGTGTGAAGTTTCTGCACGTGTTCCATTATCGCTGAACCAGTCACGTACAGGGAAGGCCCGGTGACTTGGCACTTTTAACGCTGTTCGACTGGTCCTATAAGACCGTGTTAGTTGTGTCTGGAGTTGAGGTGAAACGAGGTATAAGACCGGCAATCTCGACGGTGTGGAATGTAGTTGTCAAAAAAACTACGGAAAGCTCGCCGTGAGGGCGCGCTCAGCACTTGCGCATTCGCCTATGGCCCGTCAGTAAATACTCCCTAGAAGTTCTTACATTATCTCATATGTTCTCACGCGTTTATTGAACACATTCGAATAGCTTCTTTCCCTAAGGCGTTTACTATGGGGAATATCCACTGGACGCCATGTTTATGGGTGCTGTTTAGAGCGCATGCTCAGAGCGAGCTTACATTAATAGCCTGCTAAGACCGGCAACCTGGTGCTAAATGCACGCTCCAAAAGATCTGTGGAAGCTCGCCGTCAGCACGCGCTCAACAGTCGCGTACACAGCTATGACCGCCAGTGAATACTCCTTATAGGGAGTATTCACTGGCGGCCATATCCGTGTGCGCTGCTGCTGAGCGCGTGCTGACGGCGAGCTTCCACAGATCTTTTGGAGCGTGCATTTAGCACCATCAAGGTTGCCGGTCTTAGCAGGCTATTAATGTGAGCTCGTTCTGAGCATGCGCTCTAAACAGCACCCACAAACATGGCGTCCAGTGAATACTCCATATAGGGAGTATTCACTGGCGGCCATATTCGTGTGCGCGACTGCTGAGCGCGTGCTGACGGCGAGCTTCCGCAGTCCTCTTGGAGCGTGCATTTAGCACCATCAAGGTTGCCGGTCTTAGCAGGCTATTAATGTGAGCTCGTTCTGAGCATGCGCTCTAAACAGCACCCACAAACATGGCGTCCAGTGAATACTCCCTATAGGGAGTATTCACTGGCGGCCATATTCGTGTGCGCGACTGCTGAGCGCGTGCTGACGGCGAGCTTCCGCAGTCCTCTTGGAGCGTGCATTTAGCACCATCAAGGTTGCCGGTCTTAGCAGGCTATTAATGTGAGCTCGTTCTGAGCATGCGCTCTAAACAGCACCCACAAACATGGCGTCCAGTGAATACTCCCTATAGGGAGTATTCACTGGCGGCCATATTCGTGTGCGCGACTGCTGAGCGCGTGCTGACGGCGAGCTTCTACAGTTCTTCTCCAACGCGCATTCCGCACCATCAAGGTTGCCGGTCTTAGCAGGCTACTAATGTCAGCTCGTTCTGAGCATGCGCTCTAAACAGCACCCAAACATGGCGTCCAGTGAATACTCCCTATAGGGAGTATTCACTGGCGGCCATATTCGTGTGCGCGACTGCTGAGCGCGTGCTGACGGCGAGCTTCCGCAGTCCTCTTGGAGCGTGCATTTAGCACCATCAAGGTTGCCGGTCTTAGCAGGCTACTAATGTCAGCGCGTTCTGAGCATGCGCTCTAAACAGCACCCACAAACATGGCGTCCAGTGAATACTCCCTATAGGGAGTATTCACTGGCGGCCATATTCGTGTGCGCGACTGCTGAGCGCGTGCTGACGGCGAGCTTCCGCAGTCCTCTTGGAGCGTGCATTTAGCACCATC